AGGATTGTTGTTATGTTAAGTAGAAGGAGGATTGTTGTTATGTTAAGTAGAAGGAGGATTGTTGTTATGTTAAGTAGAAGGAGGATTGTTGTTATGTGATATAGAAGGAGGATTGTTGTTATGTTAAGTATGTTAAGTAGAAGGAGGATTGTTGTTATGTTATGTTAAGTAGTAGAAGGAGGATATGTGAAGGAGGATTGTTGTTATGTGATATAGAAGGAGGATTGTTGTTATGTTAAGTAGAATAGGAGGATTGTTGTTAAGTAGAATTGTTGTTATGTGATGTATTGTTGTTATGTTATGTAGAAGGAGGATTGTTGTTATGTTAAGTAGAAGGAGGATTGTTGTTATGTTAAGTAGAAGGAGGATTGTTGTTATGTTAAGTAGAAGGAGGATTGTTGTTATGTGATATAGAAGGAGGATTGTTGTTATGTTAAGTAGAAGGAGGATTGTTGTTATGTTAAGTAGAAGGAGGATTGTTGTTATGTTAAGTAGAAGGAGGATTGTTGTTATGTTAAGTAGAAGGAGGATTGTTGTTATGTTAAGTAGAAGGAGGATTGTTGTTATGTTAAGTAGAAGGAGGATGTTTGTATCTAATAAAATAACGTCGTTTCATTGTCTTTTATTACATTGTTCCTTTATTATATTTATCATATTATAGTTTATATGTAATTATTATTGAAATTCTTTTACGATTTAGAGTGTCTCATAAGTCATTAGTGGCTGGATGTATACACTGTGTAGTTATGCTTATCCTCAGATCCCTGTTGTATTTACATGTGACGATTGATTGATTGATTGATTAATTGATTGATTATAAACTTAACTTTGTGACCCAGTTACCTTAACCGATTCCTCAACAGCCGGGAACTGTCTCTACGTGTTGGGAGATTGTATAGGTTTTCAGATAGTTTTTTCAAAGATTTTTCAGAAACATTAAACAGCGAATATATCAAACGATCTCCATGGATATAAAATCGCAACTTCCTGTAAATAATATTTATCAATTCGAATATAAATATCACAGGGAAAATACAAGTGAAGATTCGACTGGTATTCCATATAAATTTATTATCGGAGCACATAAACGAGACACTTTGCAAGGAAGTATTGAAAAAAACACCCACAAATCAACACAAAGTCCGTCATTAACTGTACGTACCTTCCGTGATTATGTAACAGTCGGGTTCAATTGAGACTTATGGCGGTGACATTACATAGAGGAAAGTCACTGCCACTGCGAATGTTTAACGATCGACTGCGACGTGTGCGGCATTCACTTACTTTTAATATTCTATACGCCTACATCTTCACGCTTTCTTACTAACTCCTTCACTAATTTACATATAACTCGTAAACAAGACAAATGCGGGCAGTCACCTGGACACACTTACAGAACACGTGTGAAACACAGACAGAACTATAAATAGCATTAAGGTGTTTTCCACCATACACGTGACAAATACAGACGTATGATATACATCACAAGGAACATTACTAATAATCTAATTAATATGTACCTGTGACATACACAACCTGTCGGGAAACTGTCGTCCCTGACATTTAATTCCAGTATTGATGAAACCATTTTTTATTAATGCCGGAGAATATCCATCATAATTACAGCAATCATTTATAAACATGGTTGATCAAATGTCTGAAATAAAAGAAAAAATGTCTGAAATAAAAGAAAAACCTGTTAGACACCTGAAACACAAAAACATCATTTAAACCGACAACCAGTCATCTTCCACAATCTGTTCCATAATATAGTTAATGCTCTAATTGTCGTCTAGACCTTGTCGATCGCCGTCTAGACCTTGTCGATTGCCGTCTGGACCTTGTCGATCGCCTTGGTCGTAGAGCTTCTACCACAGGGAAAAGCCCCTCTACCTTGCCTTGTCTTGCCTCGCTCTGGTAAGATTACTTAGAGCCTATTTCCCTCTACTCAGACTCCTTAGTTACAGAAATTATCCTTCTGACAAATTAACAGGGGTAATATCAACCTCAAAGGAATGTGTAGGATTAAAATCCTCAGCTCTAGTATAGTCCTATTTTGGGACCCAATACAGTAGGTACTATATCTGTATCACAATCTTCAGGGCTAGAATCTGAATCTATATGAACAAGAACGCTGACCGTGGGACTTTTGACCTTGGATCTGACCTTGGCCTCAACATGCAGTTCCATAGTATCATCAGTCCGACCTGATTAGGGTAAAAATATATCCTTATGTAGCGATCGTACTCGGTCCTGGCCATGTTCTAATTTTACTTTATACATCGGGGTGTTGAGTCAGGTTTTGACAAAACTTTGCGGACTTGCGCAGGATTCAGTTCCTTTTAATATTCCATACACTTACATCTTCACACTCTCTTACAAACTCGCTCACTAATTTACATATAACTCGTAAACAAGACCAAATACCGACATGTGCCGACAATCACGTGGACGTTGTTTCGCAACATGTACACAGTACTATAAATAGCAACCAGGTGTTTCAACACTACACTGAAAAATACAGACGTACAATATACATCGCAAGGGGCATAACTAATGATACAATGGACATAACTAATGATACAATGGACATAACTAATCATACAATGGACAAACAATGGACATAACTGATGATACAATGGACATAACTAATGATACAATGGACATAACTAATGATACAAAGGACATAACTAATCATACAATGGACAAACAATGGACATAACTAATGATATAATGGACTTAACTGATGATACAATGGACATAACAAATGATACAATGGACATAACTAATGATACAATGGACATAACTAATGATACAATGGACATAACTAATGATACAATGGACATAACTAATGATACAATGATAACTAATGATACATTAGAAATAAATAATGATACAATGGACATAAATAATGATACAATGGACATAACTAATCATACAATGGACATAACTAATCATATAATGGACATAACTAATCATACAATTGACATAACTAATGATACAATGGACATAACTAATCATACAATGGACATAACTAATGATACAATGGACATAACTTATCATACAATGGACATAACTAATCATACAATGATAAATAATGATACAATGGACATAACTAATGATACAATGGACATAACTAATGATACAAAGGACATAACTAATCATGCAATGGACATAACTAATCATACAATGGACATAACTAATCATACAAAGGACATAAATAATGATACAATGGACATAACTAATCATACAATGGACATAACTAATCATGCAATGGACATAACTAATCATACAATGGACATAACTAATCATACAATGGACATAACTAATCATACAAAGGACATAACTAATCATACAAAGGACATAAATAATCATACAATGGACATAACTAATCATACAATGGACATAACTAATCATACAATGGACATAACTAATCATGCAATGGACATAACTAATCATACAATGGACATAACTAATCATACAATGGACATAACTAATCATACAAAGGACATAAATAATGATACAATGGACATAACTAATCATACAAAGGACATAACTAATCATACAAAGGACATACCTAATCATACAATGGACATAACTAATCATACAAAGGACATAACTAATCATACAATGGACATAACTAATGATACAATGGACATAACTAATGATACAATGGACATAACTAATGATACAATGATAATTAATGATACATTAGACATAACTAATGATACAAAGGACATAACTAATGATACAATGGACATAACTAATGATACAATGGACATAACTAATGATAAAATGATAATTAATGATACATTAGACATAACTAATGATACAATGGACATAACTAATCATACAATGATAACTAATGATACATTAGACATAAATAATGATGCAATGGACATAACTAATTATACAATGGACATAACTAATCATACAATGGACATAACTAATCATACAATGGACATAACTAATCATACAATGGACATAACTAATTATACAATGGACATAACTAATCATACAATGGACATAACTAATGATACATTAGACATAAATAATGAATACAATGGACATAAATAATGATACAATGGACATAACTAATGATACAAAGGACATAACTAATCATACAATGGACATAACTAATGATACAATGGACATAACTCATCATACAATGGACATAAATAATGATACAATGGACATAACTAATGATACAAAGGACATAACTAATGATACAATGATAACTAATGATATAATTGACATAACTAATATTATAATCTAATTAATATGTATCTGTGACATAAGATTTACAATCTCAATTTCAACAAACAAACAAAAAAGAAAATAATAATAAAACAGAAAAAAAGAAAAAAAAACAACACCACAACCACTTTTTATATTGCATTATATACTGATATCCAAGTCTCAGAACAGAAACCTTATATATTATATGTGAACTTGCATTAGTATTATTCGTATGTGGGCCCAGAAAACTCATAAATCATCATTTTTTAGAAGATTGTTAATTATTCTTGTTTTTTCACAGATGTAGAGGAAACTGAGAAAAAATCTATAAAACGCGATGACTGATTAACAACCTGTTACATTCAGACCTGCGAACGTTATGTAAAAATGAATACTGTGAAACTCACAAAATATAGGAAACTGAAGAAGAATCACATCTTGGCTTTTTTTGTTTCAATTCAGATCACGTGGGCACTGACATCTTTTTACACTGGTTTTAATTTTTTACTGTTGAGGGGAATTTCATAGTATGATGTGCGAAGTCTCTCAAATGTATTATTCAAAAGATGTATATAAATTGTGAAGTAATATGTGACACTTGAATAAATATTTTATTGTTATTAGTAGTAATCGATATCTCATTTCGTCTAGTATAAACATTGACAGAATTACTCACTGGTGTTCACGAGATGATTGGCGTCGGTAATGAACTACAGATTAAATATATTGTGATGTTAACGCCATTCATTTGTCCATTACAGTGATAATAGTCCTCAATGAACACCTCCGAAAGTGAGGCTGTCACCGACACCACCGATTGTCCAGCTTGTAAGCGCAGGTAAGTACTAATTAAATCAGATGTGCATAATGTTTTTATATGTAACCCAAACTTATGCTCAAAGATTCCACAAAAGGTTTCAACTAATTTTTAATACAGCACATTTAAGCCGTGGCTCATATGACAGTTTTCTTTAGTTACCAAGGAAACGTTCAGGTGATAATACGCAAATGTACATTTGAACGTTTGGTCGTACTTATAGTTTGCCAAGAATGACGACCAGTATAGAGAAAATAGACTGAAATTATTCTGAAAAATATCATGGGCTTATTTCTTGTGTTTAGCGGCTCAAAGCGGTCGGAGTACCGATCCTTACGACACCGCAACTCCCTAAAAGGACCAAGAGTCGGTAAGTAAATATTTCAATTACTATATACCTACCACAAATTATAAATATAGGTGGTTGTATCTGTCGCGACAACCTCCTGGCCTTTCGACGACAACGGGAAAAAGGGGCGGGGGCATTTATTGTGCCTCAAACAAACTAACAAAACCTTACATGTACTTTCCGGACTAATAAGGTAGTTTGATTGGAACTGACACCGTTATAAGATCCGAAACAACATGGCTGCGGTATCGATACCACCAAAGCTCAGCTTTCTGGATTAGCTCGATCCCATTATCAGGAATAGCGTGGTTTGATAAACTGAAACAGCAAGACTATAATATCGACACTAACAATGATATAAAAACCGGACTCACAAGTAACATACCATCTAGAATGTGTGGCCTTACACTTACTGGGTCCGCATGTACACTGTTGAAAATCTTGTATTATTCTTAGTTACAATATCCAGACTACCGATAATGTATTTATTGATTTGTTTTGTTTATTTTTTATAGTTGAAGAACACTGGACTAAAGTCTTGCAAGCTAACGAGTGTGTCTACAGCCGTCAGTGTAGCTGTCGACATGCCGAGCGATGCAGATCCTTCAAACGGCGAGGATCTCGACGAAATACACAAAATGTCGATACAGCTGTCTCGTCAATCTTCCAGAGATTTCGGATATGGTTGAATTCAAAATGGAAAGTTCATGAAACATTTGATGGTCCTTTCCGTACCGGGTCGTTGAGGAAATCCAAACGTATTATCAGCGATGCTACCACCGATTCGGGACTGTCTGAATATGATTCTGACTCTAATATCTCGCTTCAGAACAGAATTGGACTGTACAGAACTGGAGGGGGAAATGCCGTTATATCGGATACGGACGATCCTAATTACGTTTATATTAGGAACAAAACACCTTTATGTGAAGATCAAAAAGATGCCAGCGATTCAAAAGCTAATTTTGTTACAAAACATACATTGCACGTGCCTTCTTCAGCGACTTCCGGAAGTCCCAATCAGAATGACAAACGCTATTGTAAACACAAACAATTCCTCCAGGTGACTGAACCGGAAGAAAAGAGGCAGCCATTGACAATCACAACTAGCTTTCCGGGTAAATCTCAGAGTACATCTCGTCACACGGAGTCTCAGAACGAGAACCCGATCGCGGATTTCTTTGGGACATGGCCTATGTCAAGAAAGCGCCATCAGATGACGGAAGGTAATTATCAGGTTTTTACAATTAACACTGAAGAAACTGGTAACGATATACCGAATGTACGGCATCCGAAAATCTTGCCTTCAAGGCGCAATTCATATTGACAAACAATGCCATAAGTCGACTCTTTTATTCTTTCTATATTGAGTGTTTTTTAACAAATACAAATTTCCGATATTTTGTTATTCTGAAATGCAGCAAGGTAGCCCAAATATTATATTATGGAAACCATGAAACTTTTTTTGTGCCATTTGATTTTAACATATTAGTTATTCAAGACCTTACAAAGCAATGACCATCTAGTAATACTTTTATCAAATTTCTACTGGATAAGCTTAATGACAAAGTAATAGCGTATTGCCCATGCTAAAGGTCGAATAGAACTGATAGGAAAAATAGCTGCGAACTTTCCTTCTCTAGGTTAATCATTATGGCAGTTCTGTTTGTCAATATTTTAGCGTTTTGCAGCGGACAGTGACTTTTCAAGGATTTTGCACTTTCGGTTTTATTTCAAATCGTAAATTTAAAAGGATATGCAAACCATATTGTCATCATGAAATTAAACCGCAATGCCATCACAAAAAATGTCATTGTGAAATACACCACGATGTCATCACAAAAATGTCATTGTGAAATACACCACGATGTCATCACAAATCAGACACCAATGTCATCACAGAAACACAATGTCATCACAAAAAATGTCATTGTGAAATACACCACAATGTCATCACAAAAAATATCATTGTGAAATACACCACAATGTCATCATAAAAAATATGTAATAATAACAATTGTAATATCCATTTTTTTATTGGAAAGAATGGAATTTACTGGTCGTAAAATTTACGTGAGAGACATCCCAGTCGTAGCGTCATCTCAATATCTTGTCTTGAATTAGCTCTTTTTTCGGTAAAGTGAAAGGCATTTTCCGATTTCCTGCTGAAGTATACGTTACAGATTTAATGTTGTATCTGTCTCATTAAGTACGGACAACCTACTGAAGAAGTTTCTGAATCGATAAAGATAAATTTCATGAATTTCGTGAAGTGCAATGAACAGCGTTAATTAGAATTTGACCCCACAATTCGAGACTATTCGGAAATATCAATATTAGTGAATGTTTTCCTTATCAATTTCCAATCATTTATGTTTCCCGTAAATCTAGTTTCAGTCTTATGCTGTGTTTTAGCAGACTTTGAGTCTAGGTAAACACTAACAATACAAACACAGATTACATTTAGAAAACCCATGGCACAATTAAGTATGTAATTGCCTTGTCATTGTTTCCTAAAACAACACCATCCTATTGTTACAAATGTAGGCACTTGGAGTGCGCCTTCAATTAAGGTTAGATAGTGAAGTAAGGAGAGGCGGAAAGTAGTGTTCCATATATTTTGTATAAAAAGGATTCACAAGAATATATTATCAAGAATATATGATAGCTGCCAAGAATCCCACTGCCCCTAATACGTTCTCGTAATAAGGGTAGGAGACTATTGTTAAAAATGACTTCCTAATGTAGAATTATACTTTCTCGTCACTTTTTAGAATACATTTTCGAATTTTTCATTGCTAAAGACGTTTTTAGAATTCAGAACCGAGATATAGCATCGTCCTCTTAATAACACAAACCAAATTATATTGTTTTACCTACAGGAGATCTAGATTCCGTATTCGAAGACGACGGACGTTTAGCACCAAGGTAAGCATAAACGTAAAATGTAAAAAAAGAAAACGCCGGAAAACGATTATCCGGATTTTTTCTGTATCCATCAACTGCACCTAATTATGAACACCATACTTAGTATATAGAAATTACAGAAAATCACGTAAAGTACATATAATTCTTTAATTAGATGGATTTTTATAGTTATGGTCAAATCACATATCTTCATTGCTAATAAGGAACTTCGTCTGATGATATTGTATTTTTTAATGAGCATTAATTAATTATGATTAGTAATTTGTCAGTTATCTTTCTGAGATATAAGTTTTTTTAGGTTTAAACATATTTATTGTCAAATACAGACAGTGGATTAGGCACAAGTTATTATAACTTATCAACGCCTTCTCCAAAAATACATTACATATGAGAATAAAAAACAATATGACAATATAGTACAATACTGACAATACAATACAATACTGATAATACAAATGTTGATATACATTAACTCAAAATCTGTTGAGTTAATATATATCAATAAGTACGTTATTTGTCATATACCAAATCTGTGTGATTGTGACCAGATTTATCGTTTGAGCCGCAGCATCCGGATGGCTTTTACTGGAGGTAAATCAATGTATTGTATTACATTTTAGGTTGTCCTGCTCAGAGAGTCTCGATGGTAACGCGGGCGAATTCCTCATCCCATATAAAGATTTAGAACACGAAGAATTGCTCAAATCCGGACGCACGTGCTCTATATACCGGTAAATATTGTCAATGACACCATCAAGTGGCACTTCTTGTGCTACGACATTGCTGTACCGACGCATTATATATATATGAAATTCTAATTATTTAAAAATCAAAGATTCTGAGAAATTTGTTAATTGAATTAACTTTAAAGACGAGTCGTTTATAAGCGTTACTAAAACAATTGTGTTTGTGTTCGCACAGCTTTTCTGCAGTAGTAATTAATTGTTGGTAGTTGCAGCAAGGAAACAATTGACTGACATTGGTCGCAGACTACGGGTACGGTTGTCTTAAGATAAGGCTAACGCAATATCATATTATTGTTAACAGTGGTCGTTGGCATGGGAACGTGAACATACATCATTATGGTCCGCTGAAGAAGGAGGAATCACGGGATTTCTGGAGCATGGTCACGAAATTACACAGAGTGCGACATGAAAATATTGCACTTTTCATGGGGGCATGTGTGGATCCCAACCATTTTGCAGTAGTGCTAAGGTATGGAAACCTCACTTTCTGTATAGGACTTTTTATTACACGATTTAGTCAACGAGAAGAGATGCTTGACTTTCATACCTTCAATAGAAAAGAGTTTCAGAGTGGATAACATTGCTGTAATGTATTAATCCGTCTGATATTACGTCTGTTCGCTCAAACATACCCTAGATACAGAACTGTCTTCTTTCTTTTTAAAAAAAGGAATTCTGAATTTCCAGGGCCATTATGTAAAAGCCATTAACACTTCAGTACAAAATCAGTTTTTGTGTGGAATGTGTCATCACGGTTCACAGTTTATGCGATGTCACCAAAGCTAGTTACAACCTTCACCAGGCGATGGACCTTATTGATTAACAGAGTAAAGGTCGAAGGTCATTTGATGTCATATTACAAAATTGTTTTTTATATGCCATGCAGTGGAGGATACCCAAGCATTGCGTTCTCTTACCCGGTTTTATGAGTTATGAGATTGAACCCGGTGTATGGAGACGTCTTGTGTCAGATGTGAACGTCATATCTACTAAAGATAATCAAACTTAACTTAATTAAGATATATAGATTTACTTGAATGCAAACAACGATGACCTTATATGGAATAGTCCCAAGGTGTCACGTGTAACAGGGAGGGATGGAAATAATTATTAATCCCTGCAGGTCATCAGGATTTTAGAAATTAAAAAAAAATAAATTGTTGGGGGGTTGCTGGTGATTGAAAATATAAAATCTTATAAAATATGTAAATATATTTATAAATCTTTCTTTTCAGTGTTCAAGATGGAGTTTCGCTGTACGACCATATACATAGACGTAAAGATAAAATGAATTTACAGAATAAGATCCAGTGCCTCCGACAGGTGGCGCATGGTGTAGGTTACCTTCATGCTAAGGGTATCGTCATCCGGTGTCTCAGCACGCGCAATGTCTTCATGTGTCCTAAGGCACGGGTCAGCGTGATGGACTATGGGATAGCCGATAAGTATTCAGACAGGTAGGTAATTCCTGCAGTATTCTCTAATAGACCATTTTCTTTTTTTACATAATATTTTGTAGTTCCGAATTATTTCGTTTTGGTCAGAATAAAAAAATCACAAGTTGTGAAGTTTGTTACATAACCTTTGTTTATCATTACATGTGTATGTTTTTTTCTCTCAAAATCTATTTCTTGTCTTTTTCATTGTTTAATTAGATCACAGTATGCCTGCGTTCCACGTGGACAATTGACCTACATTGCACCGGAAGTGTTATCCAGTATGAAAGTGATGCCACCCAAGCTTGTAGCGACAGTTAGCTATAGTGTTCGTACAGATGTGTACGCATTCGGGTAAGTAAAGAAGTAGACTTCAGTAACGTTACAAATTCTGCGGGGAATTTGGGGATGAAGAGAGGAGTATACACAGACTCAATCCTTCTTAATGTCATGAAAAGGCGATGAAAAAGGTCACAATGGAATTCTAACATGGATGTTTTCAGCACCAATTTATTCCATATTTGGTATGTTAGGCAGTGCATTGAAAGCGCGGAGCTGACAAGAGGAGTATCAAGAAAACAAGAAAATAAAACACTAGTAATTTTTGGTTAATTAGTCGGTGCTTCAGCGAGTGGTCGATCCCGCAGTTATTGTAACGTAGACGTTTTGTGTGCTTGTGTAGATGTTGTGACTTTATAATAATGGTTGGCATTATATGCCGAGTAATTTGAGAAAGAAAAAGATTTCAATTCTTGCCATTTTTTTTTATGTAAAATCATCTTTATTTTTAGCAATGATTAAAAGTAAATCAAACAAATTCAGGAACGTGAAAACGTTGTCATAGTATTTTTGATTATCGTTAGCAACGGGTGAAGTGCAGAGCATCTATGCTCCATGTCTTTCACTTCCGGATGCTCCCAATCTCTGCAAGTGTTGTCGCTCCTTAACAGTCTCAATACACCTCTGTAAACGATTCACTGTCTACCAATAGTTGACCTCGCGGTTCGGGCCAAAGTTTGACGTCGGACAAAACTATGGATGCATTCCTGACAACACCAACAAAGAACTGTTTTGTATGCCATCGAACAGCGTGAAAAACTGCGTTTTTTGAGACGCTGCGTGCCAATATCATAGCCAAATACCATCATTTCTCACTAATATAACACTTTATCAACATGCACCTCAAAATACTAAATGTAAACACGACAGTTGGTGACTGTTTACTCAATATTAATCTTCCGCGATATAATCCATAACGTTTATAATCAAGTAAACTAATGTAGTTATTATCCAGATGAACAAACATCTATTTTCAAAATAATGATATAAATAACAAAAAAAAAAAAATTCAATACTTTATCATTTGACACAAATACGTTTTTTTCGAGAATCTAGAAATGACGTGATCCGTTTACAGAGATGTTAATGAGGTACATGTTACCGGTATAGAGCCTCGTTCTCATCACTGAAAATGAACTGAACTATGCAGTAGTAATATTTTTCTTCCACTGTAATTCTCTTTTTTAGGACTCTGATGTACGAAATTATGTCTGGGCAGTACCCATATTACGGTCTCCAGCCAGAAACAATTATTTGGAAGACATGTGCTAACCAAAAACAACCGCTCGGCAAGATCAACGCTACCCGAGTTTTAACGGTAAGGTTAAGGATCAAAACTAACTTACTAATGCAATAAGCAATGCATAATTCTGTTTGGTTTGAATTTAACGGCTCAAAGTCATAAACATAGAGAGCAAATGATAAGCTGAATAGATCAAGGTTACAACTACCTAGGCCGTGTCCTTACATCAAGGAATACACATACGGATGTCCAGCTAAAATATCACATATTTATGTCTGAAGCTAATGGACTGTTTTTATTGGAATTGTTGCTAACGAGTTTTTAAATGATCTTACCAAATAGAAAGAAATAGTCATTTAGGTCAGTTAATTATGTGGTCCCTAAACACATATCATGAAGTCATCATGTTTTTTGTCATTCTGGTGTCAAAAAGAGCCGTTGTTTTTTTCTTTCTTTCTCTTTTTTAATTATTTACTCATCTTTGAGGATGTATCTTGAACTTAATTGGTAAGAGAGCCGATAGTAAACATTATTGTTTTAAATTTGAAGTAACGTCTAGCGACAGACTAACAAACATTGAACAAATTATGTCGTCGAGTCTAATACTGTTAATTTGTTAATGAACATTGGTTTTACTGATTCATGCTAATTTTTGATTTTAGAACTTGATCGATTTATGTTGGTCTCATGATCCAAAGAAAAGGCCAACGTTCGGAGAAATTAGCCGAGAGCTTCATCGAAATGTAAGTTAAGATTCTACTGTGTCAACTAAGATGCGGATTTATGTCCGATCTTTATGAACCTTTCTTGTCTTTTTCCCGCTGTTGGTAAAATAGTTTAAACAGACGTGGAACGCCAATGAACGGCACATTTATATATCAATGCTTGTAAGGACAGCAGCTGGTTTTACGGATTAAACATAGATGTTTATATACATGTTTTTTCTGAAACAGTACCATCTTTGCTTGTTTACACAGTTGTAGGAGGCCGGAAGAGAAAGTGAAACGAGACAAAACTATTGAAAGGAATTTATTAACTTACTATCCGTTTATTTTATAATTTTTTCGATAAGATATATAGAAAACAACATAAAATGCTATTGTAGATATTAATTTATATTATATCATAATAAATATTATTATCATGGATCTATATGGTATTTCCAGAACTTTTTACCTGTGTAATATTATACATGCATAATATTACCCCATGGTAATATGTTTTTCTTTTCCAGAGAACAAAGTTCGGTAAAATAATGATAATTTTTAGTCAAATCTGTCATTGACAACGAATATATCTCCAAAAGATATATTCATGATATCCAAAACAATGCCTTGAAATAGATTTATTTTTCTGAAACAGTCTTTTTATCGGCTATTTTCTCTTTCAGGTATCTCTGCATAAACAACACAGTATTTCTAATCCGGAAAATTTGAACAGACTATGCTTTGTGTAGGACGATAATCCAGAACAAAGAACATCCGGGTCATTGAGAAATACGTCATTACAGAACGGACCAGAGGATAACCACCATGTTAGGACATCATCTTTATAACAATGCGCACAATCAGTTATAACGCCTATCAGTAGCGGAGTGGACATGTGTGGCTATTTCCCCGATACCTTTCAGAAAGATCTCCAGACACTAATTAAGATCTCGTATTTGATGCCTGTTTTGTGATATGTTGTTACAAGTGACATATGTTGTAGTATTGTTATTTTTCTTATTAAGACTTTGTAGTCTATCACTGTTGATCCCTTTTTCCCCAAATATCTCACTTTCTATAGTGTATGCTTAGCCAAAATATCCGGAGTAACGAATTTTTAATTGATTATTCCGGATTTCAAGAATAAAAACCTTTGGAGAGGCCTTTCAATGGGCATAATTTTGTATCGACTATTTACAATTTTCATATAGGAATTGAGAAAGTTTTAATTTATCCCGCATAGGGAGGAGGGTGTGTGAAGAATGACTGTTCATACTTTTGATGAAATTTTGTTGAGTGAAGCCGCTTGAAATGATGTTTGAAGTAAAAGGCTGTTTGATTTCAAACAATGCTTATGTATGCTGCTGTAGTAATAAGACAGTGGACTCCACACTTTCCCAGTTCTTAACAGTTTTTCTAGTGTTGGTCAGTCATTATATTTCACTTGTGCAGGTACGCTTCCATATTTGGTCAATATCTACTAACTTAAAACTTGGGGACTTATGTGGAGTCAGAGCGCATCCTACATGAAAACGACAAGGGATGGTATATTGATGGCAGAAATACGAAACTAGGGCTATACTAAGGATGATGGGAGTGTAGATAGTTTCTGGTCATATGTTGTTGTTATATCGGGGGTATTAATTGGTCTAATGACCCACAGTGCTAATTATAATTGGTCGTTCTTTCTTCTTCCTGTCAGGCCAGTTATATGATGTTTAGAACTTACTGGTTTACATGTATATAGGTCATATAATGAGTCTTCTACAAGAAATCAAAATACTCAAACATTTTTTTTACAATAAGGAGACCAGCTTAGCTTTACATTATTTCGACAGTATTCGTTCTCCGGAGTCTCTCTCACATTCTGATTCAAACCGGTTGGTAACGAAACCAACTCCCAATAACTATCATTTCCAAATTGTTAACGTTTAGGCTCATCGCTAGTCAGAGCGCACTCCACGGTGATAAAAATAGATTGAAACCGTCGGGAAAGCTAAAATAAAAACTACTTGACATTGATATATATATACCTTATGGTTTATGGATATTAGGATTTATTTCAATATCCTGTCTAACGGGATAAAAATTTTATTTCAGTATTTTAATAAAAAAAACAAAAAACCCAATAGCTCCGAAAGAATAGTGTTAGACATAAGACATTGAAATCCAGAGCCTGAAATTGACACCATTGGAACATATGCTTTATGATATTCCACTAAATATTGCTTATATTTGAGTTTGTAAATCAACACACATTGAACAGTGTTTAACACCACATCCTCATGTTGTTATATTGTTGTTCAGTAAACATTCTATCATTATATTTATATGAATGTCTTTTTTAATTGACATACGTTAATTCGAAGCGCTCTTATGAAACGTCGCATTTAAGTAAGGGGCAGTAACTCTCATTAGAAAATCCAGATGAGTTTTCTTGAAATTGTCGATTAGCGAGAAATGAATAATTTAATCAGTAAGTTGCAGTGCAAAGTTATGATATAATTAGAGGAGAAGGAGTGGAAGATCACTACATTTGGGCGTTGTTTGTTTTAATTTATATTTCGTTTTAAAATGTTTGTGTATGATGGTGTATACCTTACGTTAAGACTGTGATATGAGCATGGATTTTGTGATTTTGAAAGTTCACTTTGTTCACAATACGTGATGCTAAACAATTAAAAAGTAATGCAAAATGTCATTGTTCATGGTCGCTCTTTTATTTAGACTTGGTGAGTTCGGTCTTACACTGTCACACTCTGAGTTGTGTATGAAAAATGCTCATACATCAAATCTAATGCTGCTGACGGTGCAGATAATATCATAAAAGTATAATTCTATCAGGATTTCATTTTATTTCAGTCCTGGAGTTGGATTCCATATATACCATCATCATTTAGATAACTTATTTTACAAACTCTTAGCGGTAGTTCCTGATATCTTCCACACTTAAACATTGTTGTCGAGTTGTGGCAAGTTTAGATTTATTCCGAGAAAATCGAACATCCGCGAGTTTCTAAAACTTTTTTTAAATGCACGTCCCTGTGGTGAAATGGATAAACTTGCCAAACATCCGTCCAGCAACAAGGATTTGTTAGAAATCTGTGCGAATCTGACGATCACGAGACCATCGTCACTTCCGTTCATTCGACGACTATAAATACACTTCCGGGGAAAAATCACGAGTTAACCTATTTTTTATAACCTAATTACAAAATAAAGATTCCAGAATAAAGCAGCTTCGCTATTGATATGGACTGCTTATGATAATCATTTGATAAGTAAAAACAGAGACGTATATAACACAAAGATGAAAAACTCCTTATTGAGCTTACAATGGGTCACACATGGTATCTAAGAGTAACTGCGAGGAAATGCCGATGCAAATCCTTGAGAAAACGACATTCCACAGCATGAACCTAGTTTCTAAAAGAGTACATCTCCAAATCCGGATTTTTGCACTTGTTTTAAAAACTCATTTTCTGCAGTAGCTTAAAACCAGGTCCATAGTATCACTGAATAGTCTTAGAAGGACGAAACAGTTGTATTACAGTTCTAACTCTAAATTATATTGAGAAGTGTTATTCAACGTTGTTTTTCTTTTACTATCTTCGAGGCTGAAGGAGGTAGACACTGCTGGAGGATTGTGTAGTCTTCGAGATTTGCCGCAACATGCATGTTATGTTTTAATTCATTTAAATAGTGATACGACCAAGAAAATACACACATGTACTTGACGTTCCACTGAAGTGATCAGATATATTAAAATTATAAAATTATGGGGCCAGTGCACCTCCTCATCCGGATGTTGACATTTCTTTCCATCATGTATTCTTTTCTCATAAGCTTCGTAGGTTTCATAATCTAGATCCTTAGCATCACTGGTGAGTCCTGGGACAACACAGCTGTATAATGTAGTTAAATCATTTGATTCTTAATTCTTATTGAAAGGTGCTAATCACGTTTTTTTTTTTTTTTTTTTAATATTATGTTATGTGTCCCAATTACTTATTCACTCTAAAGTCACATCGTTTGACATTTGTAAAACGACTCAAAATGCCTACAAAATGACCTATCTTTTGTGAAATTAGGTCAGTTCGTGTTCTATTAGTTCTATCTGAAATTAATCCGGAAACAAGGGTCGTCTTGTGTAGCTTTGGAAATCAACTTAAAATGAAATAAAGACTCGTCATCGTCCCGCGAAAGAGTAAAAAATCAGAGGAGACCGTTATAACTTTGATTACGATGGGTTTGGAATTTCATATGATTAAGTTTGTCATCAGCAAGACTCATTTTAGGCCAAATTAATTGAAGATCCCGAAAGCTATGTAAGAAATCGTTATCGGAGACGTTCTGAATGTTAAAACAAAAGGATTACATTAACATACAGAAATAGCCAAACGTTAAAAACATTATACGATTTCATTTAGTCCGTCTGCTGTTCGGATTAACTAGCCACTCTACCCTGAGTTACTGACCGACCTACTGACCTGCCAGTAAACACATCTAACGACTCATTTTTTCCGACCAGCACGTGCACGTGTCCTTCACAGCGTGATCAGGTAGACTTGGCTTATAAGTGGATCATTTCTCCGGTTCTGTAACGGTCGTCATCGTGATACCATTGGGAAATGTAGTTTTTAAAAAGTCCTTATGTGATATGAAATTGGACGTGTTTGATACTCGTCAGTCTGGTCCTTTGTTTTCCCATTCCAACTGTTAACCCCATCAGACAGGGATTCCGTTGAATGGGATTGGGGATTCCACTTCCGGTTGTTAAAACTCTTCACTTTGTCTTAAATAATGTCAAATGTGTTCGTGTTGACGGGTTGGTCGAACCTATTTTGTCATGTTTCAACAAGTTAGGTAATCGCTTATAGACACGTGATATTTCTAAATTGTCGACCACATGAATGTATATAGACTTCTCGCCATTGTAACTTATCTACACATTGAACGTGCATTTCACAAACAGGTATTTTTCTCAATAATACATTGTAATTTTACGTCGCATGGATTTCTGGTTTAAATATGAATGCATATTAGAATGCATTTGATTATCACACATGAACAAAAACTATTGGAACAAAATTTTACTAACCTAAAAATTAAAGAAAATCTACAGCTATATTGTTAACCATACAGGTTGAAGAATCAGTGCAATATATCATGGATTATCTATAAGCCTATACTAGTCAGTAACCTCTGATGAAATGGTCCCTAATTTCTAGTTTATTTATCGTTTTTAGCTGTAAACTCGGGGGTTGAACTGTGTGAAACGCTGATACATTAACAGGTAAATAACGTTTCCTAAACTTTGTATAGCTACCTCCCTTAAAATATGAGTGTCGTTTAAAAAAACAAAACAAAACAAAAAACAAAAGAAAACAGATGCAAAAATGACACTCCAGATGTATCGGATTTGTGATATATATAATACAGCATATGTACGGTGTGTGTATTACAGAAACTTTATCTACTCCATGCTATACTTATTGTTTTGACTGTCTGTATACCTTAAATGTATTCGATTTTTAGAGAAAGGTCTAGCATACATGTAATTAGCCAAAACTTAATTTGCAAGCCATGTTTCAATTCTTACTTTGTAAAATGACATCTTGCTTCACCCTACACCCGTGACTGAGCGAAATGAATGAATCTGAGTCTGAATTACAACTAATTAAGGCATTAGAACAAAGGAAACCAATTCTAAATGATGAAAGAGAATTAACATTTATCTGTATACACTTTTAAAAGCTTTCTACAGAGTGTTTAACGTCCTTACAACAGCTACAGTCATTTAAGTACTCCTAGTGCATGCAAGATGAGTGTACGTGCTGAGAGTACCTAACAGGTAAATACATAGATTGAAGTTATATATGATAAATAACCACACGTTTCGATAAATGAGACTTGTTCACTCTAGCAGGATATCACAAGTGGCGGTGTTCAGGGGTCAGTGCTCGAACCTATGTTATTTGTTATTCACGCTAGCAGGATATCACAAGTGGCGGTGTTCAGGGGTCAGTGCTCAAACCTATGTTATTTCTTATTCACGCTAGCAGGATATCACATGTAGCAGTGTTCAGGAGTCGGTGCTCGAATCTATGCTATTTGCTGTATTCGATAATGACTTCGTCAATATTAAATCGGACGTGCTTATGCTCGTGAACACGAAACCAGACAAGAGTTCTGAAGATGGCGATGAGGACTTGTCGACAATCCATGATGACATGGATACTTTTCTTGAGTGGAGTACAGATTGGCAATTACGTTTCTATCCAGATGTACATCAGATTGAGGACAAAAGAACACGGGGTATCAATGTAAGAGACACGAAGAGTAGACCCGGAGACTGTGAAAGACATAGATGTTACAACTGACAACCACTTAAACTTCGATAACTATATCCGAGGTCGCGTAAACAGTGCCTATCAGATCGGTGGGACTCAAACATAGAATATTTAAGTTAAAAAAATAAAGACACTTGCAACCAGGTTAGATGGAGCCGTGAAGTTCTCAATCTGGAGGTTTGGTATATAGAGCGCAAAACTTACAGAGGCATCCCGAGTGCAATGTGGTGTGAACGACAGGAGAGTAGCTGAAGTAATATTCACACTGAATGTTGTAACAGCAAGATATCGTTCCCTAAATATACGTGGATCATCTTAGGATAACTTATACACAACAGATAGTTGACATATGGATCTGCTTGCCGGAGTATGTCACCTCTTCAACAAATGTGGATATGTTCAAAAAGTAGGCTAGAAAGACATCATGAGAACTAACCCATGATATAAACAAAAGCTAACATATTTACCGACGATCCAACACGACAAAGGTAGATTTGAATTCAGAGACATAACAGAGACAGCGATCAGAATACAGTAACATACGTATAATGGTGATTCCAGGTGTGAACTTGGACCAAACTCGACAAACACCAAATAATTCACTGGACCGTTAGAAGGTAGCATTCCTATTATGATAGAAGTCAAGATTTTGATGACAGACCCTCAATTTAAAGAGAAGCATCGTTTTCTACACGAGGATTCGCTAATAAAGGGAGTTCAGTAACTTTCTCCTCGAAGATTTCAATGTCTCTTGCTATACAAGCATGTCTTTCTTCATATCATATTGTTGATTCTCTGAACAAAGCCAAGACCAAGTCAGGTTCTAAAGAGAATTATAGAACAATTGTTTCCTTATTTAGGCAGGGTTCCAGATTAATAAAGGGAAACCTGTGTAAATTGCTTTGAAAACTTAAGTTCACCTTGGTTATAAATCCTCAACTCCATAGCCTTTGGAGGGCGTCACCATCTGTCCTTGACAGAATTGAGGTATGTGCGACCTCATTGGACTGTTCAAGTCTTCCATGTGAGTTTTTATGGATTTATCAAAGGGAGAAAAACAGTTTTTTTGCCGATAGGACATACAAGAGTGACTTATCATTTGGTTAATGGGGAAATTATTTGGTGGAGGAAAAAATGTTACAACCATGAATGGGGATTAACATTAGATGAATGCTCCCACAGTTTTCATTGTGTCTTGTTGAACAGACACTTCTTTCCTCCTGAAGAAAGGCAAATTAAGTGACCTAATTAATGCTGGTTTATTATGGTGCTTTTGAAATAAAATGTTTCTGATTCACGAGAAACACTTTTTCATGCATCTGTATTATTTTATTGATAAAAAGTTTTCGTGTGGGATTTATTTTCAATTATTTTGTAGCATTCTTAATCCACAAATTATTATAAGTAGAATTATTGAGTTGATTATTTATCCACGAAATCAAGCACCAACAAATACTATATATTGTTTAAGTCATCTGAGACAAAGTCAAATTGGGTCAAATTGATTGAAATTTCATAGATGTTCTTAGCTGTTACTGGATAGTAGATTTTATATAGGAAAATTCAAAACTGGAGTGAAATTTCTTTTATTTCAAACTTGGTTAGAAGCCTTAGCATAGGACAGCAGTTAATGTAGACACAATTTACATTTGTATCATGTGTACAATATAGTTAAATCTTAAAACACTGTTTTATAACAAAATCATTACTGTGACATGTTACAAGAAGCATTGTGACCTTGAGGCCATTGGGCATCTTGTTTATTGTTTTAAAAGCAAAAGATCAACAGATTCTCACTCAATGGAAAATAGTTGCTTACATTACATGTACATTTGTTAAATGATCTGTTTGTACATGTACTTTGGTGATTACAATTAACATGCAAAAACAAATTTTGTATCAACGTTTCGTCAGGGGCGTATTTATGATAGCACATGATTTACACATCCTTTCCTAGCCAATCACCATTACCACATTTGTGTACTTCATGCTATGCTTGTCTGTTGTCTTGTGTCACCTGCCATGGGATTTCTGTGGTCAAACTGGTCTTGAATGATCCTGAGATGGTAATGTTCAATCATCATTCTGGTAGGACCAAAATCAAAAATGGTCACCATAGCAACACCTCCAAAAATGTGTTTTTAACTTCTCTGTACTACTGCTGCCATTGGGCTGAAAATGGGTATGGACAATATTATAAGTAAAATCTTAATTCATGCCTGTCTCAATAAAACTTACAGGAGAAGAATACATAGATATTGTATCCAGTTTTTGTTTACCTATCCCAAAAGGCCATGTGAGCTCATGTCATCATCTTTTCTCCTTCATATCAGTTTTTCTTTTCTAAATTTGGTCTGAAGAAGCTTTCTTCCTCCATTTGGAATTTTCTGAAGCATCCTCGTGTAAAATTCCTGGAAATTTAAGTCGTTTTTTGTTCCAGAGCAATGCCACTAATGGTCATGTTGTACGGCTTCTGATTTGAGACAGTTGTGCTCACATTTTCGATACGGTCACCATTTTTATAGTCAGGTATCACATGGACAGACATGTGGATGTCAGGTATCACATGGACAGACATGTGGATGTCGGGTGTCACATGGAAAGACATGTGGATGTTGGGTGTCACATGGACAGACATGTGGATGTCGTGTATCACATGGACAGACATGTGGATGTCGTGTATCACATGGACAGACATGTGGATGTTGGGTATCACATGGACAGACATGTGGATGTCGGGTATCACATGGACAGACATGTGGATGTTGGGTATCACATGGACAGACATGTGGATGTTGGGTATCACATGGACAGACATGTGGATGTCGGGTGTCACATGGACAGACATGTGGATGTCAGGTATCACATGGACAGACATGTGGATGTCGGGTATCACATGGACAGACATGTGGATGTCGGGTGTCACATGGACAGACATGTGGATGTCGGGTATCACAAGGACAGACATGTGGATGTTGGGTGTCACATGGACAGACATGTGGATGTCGTGTATCACATGGACAGACATGTGGATGTCGGGTGTCACATGGACAGACATGTGGATGTCAGATATCACATGGACAGACATGTGGATGTCGGGTATCACATGGACAGACATGTGGATGTTGGGTGTCACAAGGACAGACATGTGGATGTCGGGTGTCACATGGACAGACATATGGATGTCTGGTATCACATGGACAGATTTGTGACATGTGGATGTTGGTTCTGTTACATGGACAGACATGTGGATGTCGTGTATCACATGGACAGACATGTGGATGTCGGGTGTCACATGGACAGACATGTGGATGTCAGGTATCACATGGACAGACATGTGGATGTCGGGTGTCACATGGAAAGACATGTGGATGTCGGGTATCACATGGACAGACATGTGGATGTTGGGTATCACATGGACAGACATGTGGATGTCGGGTATCACATGGACAGACATGTGGATGTCGGGTGTCACATGGACAGACATGTGGATGTCGGGTATCACAAGGACAGACATGTGGATGTTGGGTGTCACATGGACAGACATGTGGATGTCGTGTATCACATGGACAGACATGTGGATGTCAGGTGTCACATGGACAGACATGTGGATGTCAGATATCACATGGACAGACATGTGGATGTCAGAATCACATGGACAGATTTGTGACATGTGGATGTCGGTTCTGTCACATGGACAGACATGTGGATGTCGGGTATCACATGGACAGACATGTGGATGTTGTGTATCACATGGACAGACATGTGGATGTCAGATATCACATGGACAGACATGTGGATCTCAGGTATCACATGGACAGACATGTGGATCTCAGGTATCACATGAACAGACATGTGGATCTTGGGTATCACATGGACAGACATGTGGATGTCGTGTATCACATGGACAGACATGGTGACGTCGAGTATCACATGGACAGACATGTGGATGTCGGGTGTCACATGGACAGAGATGTGGATGTCGGGTATCACATGGACAGACATGTGGATGTCAGGTATCACAAGGACAGACATGTGGATGTCAGATATCACATGGACAGACATGTGGATGTCAGATATCACATGGACAGACATGTGGATGTCGGGTATCACATGGACAGACATGTGGATGTCAGGTATCACAAGGACAGACATGTGGATGTCAGATATCACATGGACAGACATGTGGATGTCGGGTATCACATGGACAGACATGTGGATGTCGGGTATCACATAGGCAGCCATGTGGATGTCTAATACTACACAAACTCTAAGGTGTTTGAACAACAGGGGGTCAGCCAGTGTAAATATATGCATATCATCAAAACTGTCATTCTTTCCTAATAATTCTTACAAATCTGTATCATATCTTGGTGTAGATTTCAAAAATAATATGTCAATGTATTTGGCCCTGCCTATAAGCCCTCGGGGGTCAGTCTGGATCAATATGTGCATACTATCAAGGTGTCATCCTATACTACTAATTTTATCCAAGCTTGAAATGTTTCCAATGGAAATCAAATTATGCTCAAAAATGTACTTTTCCTATATTAACTAAGTAAACTTTACCACCTCCCTCTGGGTAGGAGGGGGGATGGGGGAATGCGAGACCCTGGGGTTATAGTAAAGCACCTTAAGATGCTTCAATCCATGAAAAGCCCTTGATTCTACCATAACTGTGTGTTAAGAAGATTTTTGAGTCCCTTTCAGCCCGCCCTTCAGCATCTGGGGGTCAGCCAGGATCAGTAAGTGCATATCAAGCCATCATCCTTTTCTCACCAAATTTGAAGTATTGCCATTGGAAACTGAACAAATTATTCTCAAAACTGTATGAACTATAGTTAATTTCAAACCCTCCCCAGAGATAAACTTTTGAAATTTGAGTCAATCTGATTGCTTTTGGCCCCACCCCTCAGGCCCCTATTCAGTGGGAACTGTATTTTTCCCTATTTTGGTTCATCTTTGACCAGAGAAGGTTTCTGCCAAATTTTCCTGAAAAAGTTCATGGATTTTTGAGAAGCTGAAAAATGTTCACAGATGTACAAATGGCGATCACAACTGGTCACCACAAGACTTTATCTCGGTTAACCTAAAAATAAGGAAAAACTGCATAATTAACATTGATAATTTATTTCACAATCCATTATTTATTTAATAACTATATACATAATAAATTAATTTAAAATCTATTTCAAAGTCCTCATTGAAGTAATCAGATTGTACTCCCTGTTGAATAAGAGGTACAATTTGTGTGATATTGATGCAGTGTCTTCTCTCAATATATCAAGTATAACATATCACTGTTGAAGGATTGTTCATAAAAGTAAAACTGATTTGTTCAATTGTAACAATAAGTTGATGTTTTCATTTTAAGCTTTAATCTATGCCTTCCTGAACTACATAATTAAAATCCAAACTTGTAACAAATTTTACAGGTGTCCAAACTATCCTGGACATCATGATTAATATTCTGGTAGGTAAATGCTTCTACTCAGTAATAGAAATATGTATTATTTATAGAACAAGACACTGTTATACTGACTTCAATAATCAATCTGGGTAAACATAATCATCAGATATTGTAGTCTGAATCATTCCTTTATTTCAATCAGCCTAGAGTCGATTAAAAACCAATATAAAAAGTTGATGGAACATCAGAATAATTCAGACATTCCTGATATAACCAAGCATGATCAATGATGATAAGTAAAATGTTTGTCTCACATTTTATGTAGTTTACTTATTCTATTGTCTGAAATCCCTACTACGGGAAATAAAATTTCATCAGTTATCAAACTCTGAACTCTTTAACATACAACAAATTCACAATCATGTCAATAACCAATACACTTAATCTTCTATTTAAACCTGAAATATCACACATTTCAAACAATATTGCAGAGACATGAACATACAGACAAGACTGTATGTCTTTGAAATGAAAGACAGGAGTATACTTATAGTGAAAAAACAGGCATTATCACTACATACAATGTAACTTCTAATGATGATGCTCTCTCTTGTACTTCACAGAACTAAAAATAGCTAACCCTTTCATGTAAATGTTGAACATCAATAAACAAGAACGTAACACTTGTGGACATCATTTTTCTTTCGTCATATTTCAACAAAAAAAATAATAGATGGACAAAACATACCATGCTACAACAGATCCTGTCAAATATGATGATTAATGCATGTATATATACAGTGGAGGACAAACTTTAACACAATTCACTATTGAATATAAAACACACATAATTACTTGGATTCATACCTTCAAATACTTGTAAAATCATTCTTTGTTTTTATGAGCAAAGACTGTACCTGATTAGCAGAATAAATGTATCAGAGTTAGGTAGCACTTTGTAAAATCTTGTTTCAACCATGATCTTTACACAGACATATCATATGATGTTTCAATTTCTCATCAAGACTAATAGAATCTGTTACTTGTAGGTGTTGATATTGATTTATCTTGGTCCAGGGTTGATACTCTGTAATGAAATCTAATTTAGGGTAGTCGGGTGGCGCAGTGGTAATGTACTCGCCTTTCACCTAGCCGATCGGGGTTTGATTCCCGGAATGGACATGAAAAGGTAAGGGGTCACCTGCTCGACCATGTGGGTTTTCCTCGGGTACTCTGGTTTCCTCCCACAATAAGACCCCTCGCGCGTTTACATCCGGGCCAACAAGAGTGATCAGTATAAGTTGACATAACTTGTTTTGCAATTGTTGTAAAATACATAAAGTTTATAGTAACGAAATCTAATTGGAAGCCAGCAAGGAATGAGATGATATAGAACCTCAGTCAGAGACTAGAAGTCATTGTAGAAATCCCTCAAGGTATTAATGAGAATATATATGTTTATAAATAAATGGCATGGTTCATTTGCTACAGCATTGTGTAATTGGGAATAATATATATTTTTGTTGATGTTTATTTCACCTGCACACCCTCACACACTTGAACAACTATTTGTAGTGTAAATATAACAGTTCTGTAATGAACAGTGTTCAGTCATTTTGAAGCAGAAATTCCTTCTAGTTACTGAACATTACTGAACATTATGCTACAATCATTTCAAGAAAAATTAAGGTAAGGTGTCTTAGTCCAGAACATAACAACAACATCACTGGACAGTTTGTGACAAACACCGCTCAGAGATTTAGCTATCCCTCCCTACCTCCCGAAAAAAATAAAGAAAGAAGAAGTGGTGATCTAGAGTGCATGCCATTTTGCTACAACGGCCAAAGTCAACGGTGATAAAAAAAAGAACTCTAGTTCTGTTCCTCTAGTAGTGTTAAACATAAGGATTCTCAATAGAATGTTAATATCCCCACTGAAGCAAAATCATTACTCAAACTTTTCTAAATAGAGTTTTGCCCAGTTTTGTCTCCATAACATGTTTGTAAGTGAATCTGCAGATTTTGGTGAGAAATGTTGCCTTTTAATTGTTACTGTCAAAATGTCTTTGTCAGCATGAGTGTTCATTTTGCCAATCCCTTAGTCTATACAGAGACAATGCAAGGCATTACGGTTCAACTTGTAAAAGAATTCAAAACTATAAATGATTTGTCCTTTTTAGTCAAAAGCTTCCTCATCACTTGAGTCAGAATCAGGTGTGTCTTCCCGAGTCAGATGGTTGATGCGACTCAGACTTTCCTGGAGAAGTCGTATATGTCTGTCACTTGGTGTGTCCAGTTTGTCCGTTTTTGGTGGACGCTTGTCATCCGACACTGGCCGTAACTTTACACCAAGTTTAATCATTCCAAAGATCTGTGACATCGGTGTCCCTCCATCTGTAAAATTATTTATTGTAACAATATTTGATTTTTGTTTTCAATTTTCAGAGTAGCAAGCAAAGGATGTGATATCACCTTTTATTGTATGACTTGAAAATACTTGTCAAACAAGAATAAATATGAAGCATTGCAGAGAGTTGTTTAATAATTAATGTTGACCTTGTTTCAATCATCTTCTTCAGTAAGATACAAAACATTTACTACAATAGATATATTACTTTATGTAAATCCTATTTCTATTTTTAACATGTTTTTATTCCAAGCAAGTTCTATCTTTGATCTTAATTTGACTGAAGCAGTTAAACTCATAATAAACTGACAGCCAATGTTGACCAAATATTCCTTTTTATTTTCAATTTCTAATTATGTAATAATCAATAGTTTAAGAGTAAACATATCAAAAGTTATCTTGAGTGAAGGCTATTGTGATGTATGTCACACGACAGCTATATTTTAAAAACAAGTATTTTGATTGTTTGGCCTGAAATACTTGAGGCTACCAGCTGGTACACAGATGTATGTATTGTAATTACCATGAACTTACCAGTTTTAGCTTTGGGTGTATATTTTCTCTCAGATGATGGTTTTAGTCGTTCAAGGCCTCCAACAATATCATTTAAATCAAGAGGTGCCCCAGAATCTCCTGATTTCTTGTCTTTGGGTTTAGTTGGCGAACTCTTTTTGAAAGAAAGAGGTAAAGCTGTTGGAGGGGGTGGACAGGGAGGTGGTGGGGGAGGTGGTGGTGGAGGAGGGGGTGGGGGTGGAGCGCCACCTGGTGGTGGTGGAGGTGGTGGTGCAGTGTTTGTTGGTGGGTGCTGTGGAATCCTAGTAGGATAATTGTCATCATCTGCCTCACCCGATACATAAATATGTACAGGGATATCCCCATCCACACAATCACCTCTGTTTTGTGATAATGATCGACGAGGCTGTGGTTTAGGACGATTGGACCAAGTTTTCTTCGGTGGCTGTTGACTTGGGGATGGAAGTTTGATAGTCTTTTGAGAATTTGTTAGTGGCTTTTCTTTCACTTTCACAAATGTCTTATTGGCATTAATGTTTGATGACTGTTTCTCCTCATCAGGTTTTAGACTTCCAGCGGCTGCTCGTTTACTAGGGGGCTGGTAACGTGGAGGTTTAATTGTCTCTGGTGTTGGGTATTTCTGTAAAATTGCAAGTAAATTAAGTGTAAATAAGTATACCTGTTACACAAGTTCCCTAAACTACCTCTTCAGTTGTGAATGATGCTTATGAAAGTACTTCAACATTTGGAATAACAGTCTGCAAAACAGGCTGGTGTACCTCTTAGAAAATTTCAAACTTGACTTGCAGGGAACCCTGACATACACCAATAAAAATGAATTTTTTGAATATGTCCCTGGTCAACCATTTTGTCTTATGAAAAAACAGAAGTCACCATTGTTTTTCAGATATCATACTTAACAACATGCCAAATTTCACTAAAATCAGACAATATCTCAACTTCAACCTATCAGAAGCCTCTATTTAATGGACCATGTCATTTTTTGCTACACTATCGTAGAGAATGTGCTATCCTTATTATTTCCAACAATTCTCATCTTAATATGCAAAATAAAACAAAAGTGATGAGTGAAAAGGTATAAGGAAATCAGGGACCAGAAAATGGTGACTATCTTGCCAAATCATAAAACTGCAATTACTTGTGCAATTAGTGAACATCAGTGATAAATCCTCAACGTAGTGCAAAGATCTAACTTAAAGTTTTGGAGAAAAGTGGTAGAAAGCAGCAGAAGAAAGAATAATAATGAGAAGAATCCTGGTACAAATGATTTGTCCACATACTGTTTTATGGAATGAATTACAAGCAAGGAAGCCTCATGTAAGCTTTTTATAAAATTCTAATAATTTTCAATCTTCTTGACAGTTACAATGTACATACACAAACTTTACATTCTTAACATACTGACAATTACATGTATGCACTTACAAATTTGTGATTTTTAATCCTATCTATTGCTTTCCTCCTCTGCTCCTGCACAAAGTCTTGTTTTTTATTCTCCACTTCTTTCTTTTGATCTCTTTTCTGAAAGTACAATTAACAACATTTCATTTAATCTGTTTTCCTTACTTTTACAAATATCTTGTTATCCATTGCAAATATTTCTCACAAATCCATTCTTGAATGTGAAATCATTTTTGAGCCAAATTGCAACAATAATTATAAGAAGGAGCCTTGATTCACCCAAAACACTACCCATTATCAACTGTTTTAATAAATGAAAAAAAAAACGATAATAAACCAACTCATGAACTTAAGTTCCAATGTTACCCAACAGTTTATGAGAAAAAAAGAAGACAAACACCAACACAAATGATTAAGAGAGCTTGACTTACCAGTTGTATTGCATGATGTTGTTGAAATGTGTCAATCTCCTCCATTCTTTTCTGATCTTTGTCCTTCTTTTTTGATTCAAGATTTGTCTGTTGAGAAAAAACACATCTTTTGTATTATACTATCTATGGGTGCAAGATTCAGCTACACTGACATAACAGGAATCACCTCCATACAAACACTATTTGTAAATACGGCCAATTTCATAAGGTTAGCTACTTTTATACCTCGGTTGTTCAATAGTGAAATAAGATTGGACATGTTGAAATAATTTTATTTTCTGAAAGGCTTATACAAAGCAATTCAGGTTGTGCGGATTTGTCTTCATTTTTGCCTTTAATGAAACATATCAAATGTGTGCTGATCTGTTTTTTTCTGCATTGCAAAAGTTGGCTATAAAAAAAACAATGAAAAGGGGGGACAATTTGATGCTTTAGAATAATCTTCAATGGTCTAAAAAAAACGATGAAGTATGTTTTAGGCTGAATTATTATGTCAACAATTTAGAACATAAAGGAATGAATACATTACACTACAATAAACAAAAAACATTGGACTAAGTGGCTATACCATCCTATATTTTTCACAGGGAAACATTTGTCAACATCTGCTTTTATATTTTACTAAAAGTGTACATATCATGTTAAGATTTGAGGATGCCATAACTAGTTCTCCTGTTTGGACCAACTAAACATGGATGTAGGTATGAAAATAAATCTTGAAACTATTTAAATCTGAAACTATTTACCCAATGCATCAGATACAACACAAATTTTACACCTGGAAATTGAAATACAGGTAAGGGTATTCCTCATGCACTATTTTCTGTTTAATTTATATATAAAACAAATGTTTATGTGTGTTAGAAATTTACGATAAATGTGCATATGTTAGTGTAGATCTTATCTATTTATTGGATCAAGTACATTTTTTGGATACTTCATCTCTGTGTTTATTTTCTTACCTTCATATTCCTAATCTTCGCTCGTCGTTTCTGGATGTTCATCCTCTTTGTGTTAATCTTAACGACTCTTGGGTCTAGTTGTTTCCCCGGACATCCACTTTCATCAGGACTGAGCTCCCTCACATCCTCAACAGCATCATAGAACACTACTTCATCCTCCTTGTCTTTAAACCAAATCAAATTATTCAGAATAGTATTTAACATCTCTCATGCTAACATCAACAAATCTTTCCTGTATGGCAACAAAGCTGACCTGGATAAACTTTCTTGTCATGCATTCAAATTTGCATCTGACAGCTCTGACGAAATCTATATTGGTGTCTGCCAGGGGTAAATATTATGTGCATATAATATCTATTCAAGAAAATCACATTTAATCTAGAGTATAAATTCACAAAAACCATATTTGATCCATGGTATTAATAACTTCTGAGTACGTTGAATGGCTACAAATGTAAGGAATTACTAACTGTTCAGTATTTTATGACGCAGCAGAAACTTCAGTGACCACCACAGCAGAACTCCCATGAAACTTATTGCATGATTACCTTTTATCTGTCGTGTGATAGCAGATAATTGTGTCTTGGCAAGCCTGTCCTCTTCCTCTAGAATTCTCAGCTGCTGGGTGTAGATAGACACTTGCCATGAATATACTCGCTCCTCCAGACGTTTCAGCTGGCCTTCAGTACCAAGATGTTCATCAATACTTGCGATCTCCTCTTTGACCTTGTCTCGTTCCTGTACAAATGTTTTCCGTTCATTCTGCAGCATCTGCAGCCTTTCTAGACTCAGATCTTCCTGTATCCTAATACAGCAACGATACTTATTTATCACAGGATAGAGAGGATATTTCATGTTTCTTGATGATTAATAGCAGTATTTTCATCCAGAGGGTGAAAAACAAACTTTGATATTTTTCATGACTGTAGAACAGACAAGAATAATTTTGCAAAGTAAACAGTGTATTTACAATTGATAATGCTCACCTCAAAAGTCTTTCCCGGCCAACAAGCTCGAAAGATGTTTGACCAAATTGTTTTTCATCATGTAACATCCTGTTGACAACAGCTGAAACATGGAAACAGATGTTTCATATAAGATTTCATATAATTCAGCATTTATGGATCAATGTTTTGATCTAACTTTCAGAGCTAAAAATCTTTAAGTTTAAGAAAATTACCTGCAGTTAATGGATCTATATCATATGTAATTACCTTGATAAAACCCGCAGGTTTTCGAGTAATATTCCACATATGTTTTTTGGATGTTGTCCAAAGCATTTTCATAATATCCTTGCCACTCTGTAAACATGGCACCATATTCACGCTTGATCCGATCACCCACATCAGGATTCTGAAGGTAGCTTTTAGCCTCTGTCACATTTGTGTAAGCAATCTCGCGAAGATCAAGGAAAGGTTGTAACAGATAATTGTAATAAGTAGATAATGCTACATTCAACCTGAACATGGCATCATCTTCTTGTTGATAAACATCCCCCATTTCATGCATGTTGGTGGCATTCTTCCTCATAAAAGTCACAGTTTCCAATTCATCCTCAGCTCTAGCTATTTCATCCAAGTAACCTTGACGACGAAGTTCACTTATGTTTTCAAAATATTCCTCTGAGGAATGTTCTTCAAACAATGTAGACATGAGGAGTTTCTCCTTACAAACTTCTAAGGCAATAGTGAAATATTCCTCTAACTGTTTACATACCAGCTGGTAGTCTATAGGCGGTTCCTGGTAGCCTAGATATGCCCAAACACTGCGTGACTCTTCCGGGAGGTAAGGGAGATAACTGTGGAGGGATGGATGAATAAGACAAAGCAATTCGTGGATGGCATTTACTTCTTGCATGCTGAATATGCCTGTACGGCTGTCACGGTTATTATCGTCAGTAACCACTCTGCTATGAAGACGACATGTGACTGCTACTTTATTGCACACATCATTCCAGCACACCAAAAATGTCATGCGGGGAGGGATCATCGCGTCAGTAAAGGGGCTGTCTTTGACAGCTACCCATCCCTCCAGACTATCTACCTCATCCATATCTAGTCTGGTAATTGTTTAGCACCGAAACAGTTGGGTATTTGGATTCCCCTTTATTGCTGTTGTCAATGCATTCTTGTCAGATCCTTACACATCACCAAATACCTGTTCTTTTTTCTCCATACTTTCTGAAATAAATTAAAACAGGTAAGTTAAATGAATGCTAACAAATAAAGGGCCACTTAGATCATTCTTCCAACAGACCTCAACATTTCCAACTTACAGCTGTATGTATTTAGAGCATGTGGTAAGCCAGTTCCAAGCTAAAATTTAGCTTACATTTCAAGACACATGTAAATGTATTCCATGTATCCTGCAATACTTTGAAAATTCAGATTTTCAGCGCTTAAATTATTTTAATCCTTGTTTACCTGATGTAGAAATTACCCTGAATTATGCCTGATGACATCAAAAAAAATTGCTCAGCAGGAAACATAGTTCCACATTTCAACAAATATAACAAGCAATTTTATGAATTATAAGTAACTTATTTGCTACAACCAATAGATCAGCTTATTCAAACATCTATTTATATTTTCAAATGTGATAAATTGAAAGTATTATGTCAAATTAATGCATGAATTAAAATACAGCTGTTCTGTGTCACCGCTGAATACAGTAAAAATATGTGTAGCATGTGTATTTTGACAATGGCAGTGCCAGTTACTGAATGACAATTGTGCTAATTGCAATGCTTTTTCATATATATGTGCACGCAAAAATCTTCTGTTATATAGACTAATGAAAACGAATATAAAAAATTTAATGCTAAATGAGGCAGGTGTCCATATAATGACCAGCATTTTGCTAATGTTGCTCTTATCGAAACAACTGGGTATCAAATACCTCAATGACAAGAAAATTATGTCCTTATGCAATGCACAGGCCATATTAATGACTATAATAACTTAAAATATAAAACCAAGACGATAAATATTATAAGTTATTTCAGCTCACAAATGAAGTAACAGCTGAGGCTTTGACTTGTGTCAAACGCCTTCATTAGGATTTGGTCCTGGAACCTCTGGCTTAATAAGAGCAAAGCTCTACAGGCGTCAGAGTGAAGCTCCATACCAGTAACATGTGTAAGACTAGCAGGTTTCATTTACATCCAGGACTTGATCCATCTGAAAATAGATCTTTCGGAAAATGAAAGGTATGGAGCATCTGAGAGAGGAGGGCATGGAGCATAGGTGCTCTGAACTTCCTTGATTTTCAAAATTTCTTTGTTCCTCCAAGTATTCTGCTACAATGCCAAGCCAAGTACTAGGTGTATAACGCCTACAAATATCATGACGTTTAAACATAAACAGAAACACAAAAATATCAGCATAACAATAATTGATCGATTTTTCGCTGTAGTGCGTCAATTTTTTTTTTTTTTTTTTTTTGAAGTACTAACCAGTTAACCAAAATTTGTGTTTACTTTCTTGATATTCTCAACCAAGAATATCATTGTGGCATGTAAGCTTCGCTCTTTAAAGGCATTGACCGATTCATGCTAACCCAATACTAAATTCATCAAGCTAAATATATGTTCTCTCTAGCAGAGCGGTATATAACCACCAGTAATGCATAACCATGGTTAAATGACAAGATACGTATTTTCAGAATTACGTCATAATGAAACTTGCCAGATAATCAGATAATTTCAGCCATAAGTTTGTAACTGCAAACATTCTTGTCAACTGTTGCAGAGGGTTTTAAAAGCAATGACGCTGTACGCTACCTTGTTGTTTAGCCCGACAGAAAGTTAGTTTCCCCATCACATTTCCCAAGACGTCAGCTGTGTTTTTGTTTCGTTTTAGAAATGGCGAAATGTCACGTGGTGTGGTGGATGTCGTAAAAAGTAAATATATCCTTTTGATGTTTATAGCATTTTATGCATGTAGATATCGTATTAACACGGAAAAGAATACAAAAAAATGGTGAGATTTAAACAAAGCTATGTATTTGTTTTTATTCGACAGAAAGAAAGAAGGTTTACGACAAACAATACAAAGGCGAACCTGAAGTAATATTAATTACAGCAGGGTACCATCTAAACTAGTCGATTACATTCAGATAAAAGCTTTTTAATATGCCGAAACAGAAGAATCGGCATGAAACAAGACACAATTACAGTATATTTTATCTTTAAAAAGTAATTTGTAACTTAGATATAAAAATGAAAATAAAAGCCCAGGGTAGTTGGTTTCAATGTGTATCCCAACATTACCCACTAGTTAGAGACGTACTGAATATATACCGCTTTTTATCTCCGTGCCGGGCTGTTCCGCGCTGTTGTGAATGGTGTCGGGTTGTAATTAGGATCACTAAACAACATGAGGGTGAGGACCTTGCGATGAGAAATGTTAAGTCTATATCAATACGCACATTAGCAGTTTCGCTGCAATGTGTTCGAATAACGTTCGCGATTTCAAGAATGAGTAGCACCGTATCTGTCTGGTACAAAAAGTGTCATACCCTGACACCTTCGTTCTGAATTATCACCTCAGTAAACCGAAAGTTGGTCTCTAAAACGCACGAGAACAGTTATTTTAATGTCTGACAATATAAAATATTGTTAAAAAAAAAGAGAAAACACTGACTAAGATATATAACTCCAAGAAACAAAGCAAAGCCTAAAAAGGTCATGATTTTATTACTTCCCTCCGTTTAAGAGGGATCGTCCTTATTCAGTGTAGTCCAATATAAAGTTGTATAAGAAATTGCTCCTCAGGTGCCTGAATATAATACTTGTCTCAACACCTCCCAGACAGGTGTGCTCCGGCCACGCACACACCACACTGGGCACATGTGTCCAGAGCCACACACACACCACATTGGGCACATGTGTCCAGAGAGTGGCTGGCACTTCTGTTAATTGCTGGTTATGATTGTATAGCTTCTTCCCTGTACAAAAGTCACCAGTTGTCACAGTATACGTAGTCCCCTCTAGATCTGGACCTCCCATTCAAGGTTACAGTCTTTTTAATCACGGTTCGATCACTAGGATGTATCGGAAATATAGATGCATCAAATAATTCAACAAGGATCTCCAATACATACAAACCACTAACTGTAAAGTATTCCAATGTAAACGTACCTAAACCCTGCCTACAGAGTACATGTTTAACAGCACATACATGCTTCCTAATATTAGTACCAGAAGACCACATGCTCCTAAGGCCTAACCAGTGTAAGCAGGTTTCCTATGGAAGCCTTATAAGCCCTTGGTCCCTGATAATCCACATTCTATGGTTAATATAATGTTTCATATATGAGCCCACGTAGCCCTACTGGGCTTGATATAGTAAACGAAGTAAGGGATAAACCCATCTTCCGGTATCTACTTTATTTTCCTGTCATGTAAAGTACAACTAACCGATAAACACCCTACACATGTCACACAGACTTTGTTTAATGCATTCATTTCAGTAACCTAATTATTATCCAATGACGCCTTGGTTTTTCTTTGATCTTTTCCTGGTGATAAATCTCATACCAAGCGATATATCAGATATCACATATGTGATATCTATAATATTGCATGGTTCTCTCTGAATGGTCCACACCTCATTAGGGAGATGGTGCCCATTTCCAAGTGGGTGAGACAGATAAACAAAGACATAGGAAAGATTTCGAACAAGCTCAGCCCCATGGCACGTGGATGAGAAAACCTCGGTGGTCATTGGATAAAACAGATACTTAATTGACACTTGTAATGTATCAGATATGTTACACTTGTCCTTCTGACTTTTGTGATATATCCAATACATTACTCATGCCCATTATGTACCTTTTACATGTTAGACCTCAGCATGTATCTGGATGTGCTTTGTTTTACATGAACTATAATACTATAATACATTGTACCTATATACTAGCTGGCTAAAGATTATTACTGCATTATACATTGTACCTCAACCAAAAGTTCAGTATCTAGTCATACTTCATTGATTACTAAAGAGAAAAAATAATATGAATTTAGCAACAGATACAGTGTCAATATGCCTCGTTACATTGATGTAACTAGTCTGAAGGAAATGTCTCGCAATGCAAGCTGAAGCTAGTAATTTATCTCGCATGTACTCAACTTTTACAACTCATATTAGAACATTCACATTAGTATATAAAGGTATATCAAATGTTAAGTGTACTTTTTAAGATTTATATTTATATCTGACAAATATGTATATCTGTTGATAAAATATTTCCTTTGTTTATTTAGATATACTGACCAGTACTTAAGTGACCAGGTGTCTGAACTGATCCGCTATGTATGGGTAGTTCTCTGAACTGATCTGTCTAGATGTGTATTAGTCTGAACTTAACAGCGCTAAGATGGCTGTAAATACAGCCAGCTGATCTGACCAGGCAGCATGCAGGGTACACAGAAAATGGTCCCATCATTGATGGGTCAGGTCCACCTCACCCTTTGTAAACAAAAACACAGGTCACTGGGGAAACACTGGGGATCAAAGGTTAAAAGACAAACTTTCCATTTCAACCCTTGTAGACCATTACATGTGGGAAACACAAATTTGTGCAATGATCATGAGACTATTAGGAAAAATGAGATTGGTATTCAAATGTTATCTCCTAGCCTTCGTGAACAACTGTTTGGTAAAGAAGTTGAACAACATTCTGTGGATAATGAAAATGGTAATGCCTCTCCTGTTATGAAGAAGGTAAAAAAACATTTGTCTGATCACGATTTATGGGGAAGAGAGTCTACAATTTTACCAGATATTGATCTTAAGATCCCTGAGTTGAAAGGTGATAATATAGCAGAACATATGGAAAATCTAGCTCGACAGCAGGTGGAAGGATACCACGAATTGGCCAGTCTTATAGCTAACCCTAACTTCAGATTTCCTCCTAAACCTGAGACCTGGTTAATGTCATCAGGCTGGACAAAATATGACAGTGATACTGGCAAGGCAGTGAAAGTTGACATCCCTGAAGAGAACATCCTTATATTTGATGTAGAAGTCCTAGTTCCAGAAGGAAATTACCCAACCATGGCTACTGCTGTATCCCCTAGACATTGGTAAGTCATTGTGATATTGGTCTCTAAAACATTGAAATAGCAAGTCCTGTAACATTGATAAATGATGATAATAGTGGGTGATGTCACTGAAATATTGGGTAGTCACTATAATAGTGGATTGTCTTACAATTATATAGGGCTGAATATTGGGTAGTCACTATGATAGTAGACTGTCTTACAGTTATATAGGACTCAACATTGGGTAGTCACTATGATAATGGATTGTCTTACAATTACACGTATATAGGACTGAATATTGGGTTGTCACTATAATAGTGGATTGTCTTACAATTATATAGGGCTGAATATTGGGTAGTCACTATGATAGTAGACTGTCTTACAGTTATATAGGACTCAATATTGGGTAGTCACTATGATAGTAGACTGTCTTACAGTTATATAGGACTCAACATTGGGTAGTCACTATGATAATGGATTGTCTTACAATTACACGTATATAGGACTGAATATTGGGTTGTCACTATAATAGTGGATTGTCTTACAATTATATAGGGCTGAATATTGGGTAGTCACTATGATAGTAGACTGTCTTACAGTTATATAGGACTCAATATTGGGTAGTCACTATGATAGTAGACTGTCTTACAGTTATATAGGACTCAATATTGGGTAGTCACTATGATAATGGATTGTCTTACAATTACACGTATATAGGACTGAATATTGGGTTGTCACTATAATAGTGGATTGTCTTACAATTATATAGGGCTGAATATTGGGTAGTCACTATGATAGTGGATTGTCTTACAATTATATAGGGCTGAATATTGGGTAGTCACTAAAATAGTAGACTGTCTTACAGTTATATAGGGCAAATAATTGTTTGACAGTCTACAGTATTTTTTTAGAGGTTGGGACTCCATTAAATACACGATGGTTACCTAACTGAATATCATTTAAGAGGTCTGCTGTATGAAATCTAGAATGATCTACTGTACACCTAAAATCTTGGCCTGAGGTTGCAGAATCAGCTGTTCTATTTATTGTGTTACCACGGTCTCAAAGTGGGTCGTGTTATGTCAATCAAGTTTTACATTTACCACATTTTTTGTTTTTTTAATGTGCCATATAAAGATTTTTTTTCTTTCCTTTTTTAAAGATTAACAGTGAAAAAAGAGACTATTGAAATGATCTCTTGATACTAAACATGAAGACCAATATTATGTTAAATAAAGATCTTTCCCGAGATTGATGTAACAATGGATTAATATATTATGAAAATTATGAAAATAATCCAGCTGATTTTATCCTTGCTTTGTTGTAAATAGTACATTGTAACAACATTATTACATACCTTTTTCTATTATTTAGGTATTCCTGGTGTAGTGACTTAGTGTTGAAGGACCGTTACCGTTGGACCAAAGTGCCAAATCTGTCGGACCTTATCCCTCTCGAGTCTGAACCTGGTGTCAATGGTCAGTCTCCAAAGGAATGGCCACAACGACTCGTCATTGGTCACAATGTTGGCTTTGATAGATCATATGTGAGAGAGCAGTATTACATAGAGGTATGCTGGAACGGTGTATATTTAAAACTACAGGAACTGTAATGTATTTTTCTGGTGATGAGCTCATGTCTGGTAATAAGTCTATGTCTGGTAATAAGCCCATTTCTGGTGATAATTATATATCTGATAATATGTCCATATCTGGTAATAAGCCCATGCCTTGTAATTATTCTATATCTGGTAATAAGACCATGTCTGGTTATAAGCCTCTATCTGTTAATTATTCTATGCCTTGTAATAAACCAATGCCTGGTAAATAAGCACATGTCTGATAATAAGCATATGACTGGTAATAAGCCTATGGCAGATAATAAGTCTATATCTGGTAATTAGCTTGTGTGGTTATAATTCTATGTCATACAATAAGCCCATGACTGGTACTAAATCCACCAATATCTTGTAATTAGTTTCAGTAGATAAACCAACAAATGTCATTTGATTGACCAACTCCAATTTTAATTAAAAGTAATGCAGTGGCCTTCATACAGGATAAAAGTAGTAAGTTTGCTTCATTGATGTGTAGTGGCTTAATGATAATCACACATAGGTATTCTCTGAATCTATCGGGATATTTGGACTTATTTTACCTGAACGGTCTACCGTAATATATAAAAATAAGATGAAATCTAAAACATTGACTCGAAGCATCTTTCTTTTAAATTTTGTTTTTGACAGAAATCAAAACTTCGGTTTTTGGACACTATGTCAATGCACATTGCTATTTGTGGCCAGACAACATACCAGAGAATTCTGTACCAGGCAACAAATAAAGGCAGCCAACGAAAGGAAGTACGCGAACACACAGCCCGCACCAAACATATGCAGGTTAGTATAGCTACCAAACTACGAAAACATACTGCCCACACATAACAGATGCAGGTATGTTAAGAAGTAATGATTGAATTGTATTTCAAAATCTATGAATGCATTGCTGAGCCTGGTTTTGTAATAATGGCCTTCATTTTGTTGTTGTTTTGAAGATTCAGACAACCACCATGATCATCACTCCACAGAAATTTTCTTAAATTTTCTTCAAAGTTTGATTATGAAATAAAATTTTACAGTACCATAATCCGTTGGAAATTTCTGTTGAAGTTGAAGAAATTTGACTTCAAACTGACTCGTAGACTTAGAGCAAGTGTTTCTGAATGATACTAAGTCAAAATGGCTGTATCTAGTTAAATGAACATATTGCATGCCAGGATAGGTTGTTATGACTCAATATTGACTTGACGTTGAAGTTCTGCCCTAAATTGAGTGAAATGTTTACCTAAAACGCATCACATTCTATCAAATCTATAGCAAACACTTCACAGAGGAAACTTGCTTTATTCATTATATAGTAAATGGGAGGTAAGAAAAAAGTGATGTTGATTGGTTATGCAATGTAGATGTCCTGAAATCTGGCTTTCATGATTAGTATGTTTTGAGAATAAAGTAGAAGCCAGGGTGATGGAATAACCATATGACTTCTTTACTTGGTATTCCACAATGGCAGACAGATGGGTTCAAATTGAATAATCCTATCAAAAGTCTTCTTAAACATTCTGACAATTTCTTATATAGTGTAAAACATGAAACTATAGGGAGTGTTTATATACCCTTAACTCTAATCACGGATAGGAGGTAAAAGATAGAATATTTCCTAACAAGTTTGTAATCTTAGGTGGAAGATGAGTGGAAGATGGTCAGCACACTAAACAACTTAAACGATGTCCATAAACTTCATGTTGGTGGAGATGACTTGAAGAAAGAGACCAGGGACGTTTTTGTGAAGGGGACGATGCAAGATGTGCGATCACAATTTCAGGTACAGTGTATAAGGCTTACTGAACTTTTTCACCAGGTTGACTTCTGGTTATACGAGATTCATCATATCCTGTTATACAAACAAAATGTATTCAAATTATCAGTGAATGTCACATGCCTTACATGTCTGATCTAACGTGCATGACTTAAAGTTGCATATAAATGATATTGCAACTGATTTATGGAAGAATTTCACATATGTTTGTGGTTCATCATCGTCATGGCAAGCACTAGACTTATATTTGAAAGAAATATATTTTTAAGGCTTGGTTTGAAGTATACAGGGATAGCTGTGTAGGTATAGCGATGTGGTAGGCTATGATAGTGCTGTAGGTTGGCGGAGGATCCAAGGTAATAGTGCTGTAGGTTGGCAGAAGATCCAAAGTAATAGTGCTGTAGGTTGGCAGAGGATCCAAGGTAATAGTGCTGTAGGTTGGCAGAAGATCCAAAGTAATAGTGCTGTAGGTTGGCGGAGGATCCAAGGTAATAGTGCTGTAGGTTGGTGGAGGATCCAAGGTAATAGTGCTGTAGGTTGGCGGAGGATCCAAGGTAATAGTGCTGTAGGTTGGCAGAGGATCCAAGGTAATAGTGCTGTAGGTTGGCGGAGGATCCAAGGTAATAGTGCTGTAGGTTGGTGGAGGATCCAAGGTAATAGTGCTGTAGGTTGGCAGAGGATCCAAGGTAATAGTACTGTAGGTATGTGAAGGATCCAAGGTAACTTCGAGATTAAATAAAGGTGATAGATTCAGCTTTAACATCCTGTCCAAACGATACAGCTTGATTGATCTGTCATTTGATCGACTCTAAGTTATTATATGTTACAATTATTTAAGCCCATATTCCAGTATACATTATATAGGCAAACTGTCTGACAAACGTTGTTGGTAAACTTTTTCTAAGAAAATACTGCCAGGATCAAAAATGAAACTTGGTAAGAATTTAAATGTAAATCTGATTGAATAAGCAAAAGATAGATTTTAAAGTTCAATGATTAAAGAAAATGCATGCTGATTCAAAATTTTAAATCTATTTGAAAAATGTTGAAGGAATAGATGAGCTTGATGATGACCAGTTCTTAACATTCACCTTAGCTTCATGATTTAACTAAAAGATTAAGTAGAAGTATTCAGAATATCAGTTATTTGTCCTGATTTGAGTCAGACACGCTGTATTAGCTATACACAGAATTTTGTTAAAAAATTTATAGATTTTTACAGAAGCTTAGCAATTCACAGCTTCTTTACCATTAATTGGAAAAGTTAAAACACAAGATTTTGAGAATTTCCTTCTATAAAAGCTTCAACTGATTTCATATTAAAGGATATTATTCATTTAAGTTTTGTACAAAATTTCAAATTAATTTTAAATTTTTGAAAGAGTTCTTGTATCCATGCTCAAAATGTGTACTTATTTGCCCCCAAATCAGATCATCATACGTCAATTCATATTTTTGTGTTTATTTGAGTTTTACACCCTATAGCCTGATAACTAAATCTGGTTGTTGTATTATGAATCTTTTCATTCAGAAAAACTGAGCTAAGCACAGGTTGTTAATGTTGATGTGTAGAAGTATCCTTTTAAACATCCTGCTTTTGTTCCTTCATTGTGTGAAGATGGGGACCATGAGAGTCCGTTGAAGATCTGACATGACTGGTTCAGTTCTTATTGAGGTCAGTTTTTCTATGATCACAGATCGGTTTGTACTTTGGTAGTTTTGTCCCTGTGATATCCCGATTGGTTTGGATCACATGCAGTAGGCCTCTTGCATATGTAGAGAAAGAAAGTCATACTTAAGTACTATTATTCATTGCATATTCCAGGAGTTGATGGAATACTGTGCCAGTGATGTTGTCGCCACAACAAAAGTTTTTCAGAAATTGTATCCTGAGTACTTAAGAAGGTAACTAACAAGACAGAAAATGAATTCACATTTCAGTCTGTTGATCTCTCAAGTTAAAATTGTTGACGATTGACGAATTGTTCAATATGCTTTGAAGTGTACTATTTTAATTGTCTGTTACTACTTATCTGTTGTAGTTTTAAAAATGAGGATTTCCGCCTCCTGTTTCCAATTTTGCATAAGATAAGTTAACAAATTCAACATCTCGTTTAATTCTTTACTACCTGAGTAATTTAAATTGAAGATTAACACATCTTGTGCTACATCTTTTTTTGTAAACCTCTGAATGTATCAACACATTTAAGATTTCCACATCCTGTAACCATGGCTGGAATGATGGAGATGGGAACCTCCTACCTGCCTGTCAATCAGAACTGGGGACGCTACATTGATGAATCCAACAACATCTACAATGACCTGCAGAGAGAGCTTAAACTGCTCCTGATGAAACTAGCAGATGAGGCATGTCATCTTATGCACAGCCAAGAGTATGTTGGTCTAATTGTTTTTACAAATGGAAGTTTGTAAACTTGGCAGGAATGGGTTGATTTGTAGATTTTGACAATGCAATAGGTGGGATTGTATACTCCAATCAAACTATTGTCAGTAGTTCTGATAAACAGACATTGGTTTTTAAGGGGCTGAATAGCAAGGGTGGGCTTATTGGGGGATAGATAATTATGCCCCCGCCATTTATGGCCGGGGGCATATAGCGTTGCCCATGTCCGTCCGTCCCGTCCCGTCCTGTCCCAAATCAGTATATACCACCTAACAACTTCATTCGGACCTTTCACTATTATTTCACATGGGGGGGCGGGGGCATTCATGTCTTACAGACATTTTCTAGTGTATCACATAGGTAGAAGTTTGTTGTACATGTGCTTGGTAATGTATAGCAATTTTTTATGCCCCCGCCATTTATGGCCGGGGGCATATAGCGTTGCCCATATCCGTCCGTCCTGTCCCGTCCTGTCCCGTCCCGTCCCGTCGCGTCGCGTCCCAAATCAGTATATACCACCTAACAACTTCATTCGGAAGGAAACTTCATACAAATATCAAGTATGGAAAGACCTCATGCAGTGGTGAATTTCTCGGCATTCTAAAAAAAGATGGCCACCAGGGGGAGATAACTCAAAAAAGAGGAACATCATCTTATTTCTACATAACTTGGTACTTGTGGGTTTTAAGGCATAAGGAACTAATAAACTCCCTCATTTTTTCCAGAGAACAAAATTCCAAATTCATGTACGTTAAATCAACTTGTCAATTTAAGTATGAAACTTAAGTTGTACATAGTTGCATACAAATTAACAAAATCATCTTTTTCAGACCTTTCACTATTATTTCACATGGGGGGCGGGGGCATTCATGTCTTACAGACATTTTCTAATTATCAGAATGTACTTTTACTGAACAAGAAAATATTTTCAAGATGCGAGGTTTCACTGTATATGTAAACTGTTACAGGTACAAACATGATCCTTGGCTATGGGATCTTGACTGGAGTGTGGCCAACATCAAAATGAATATGAAGAAGAAAGCTTTGAAGAAAGATAAAAAACAGGTCAGCATCTCATGCTTGGCTGTGTTTGATATAACAGTGAATATGAAAACAAATTGCTTGAAGAATCTGTGATATTGAGATTACACACCTTTTGATTGGCTGACTGACTACTAACATCAGTCGAAACTGGGATACATTTATCTAATTTGATTCTTTAATTATTTTTTGTTTTAATTTTCAATGGTTATTTAATATATCACATAAATAGTGCTGCCCCCACACGTACATACCTATCCACTAACATGCATTCTTCGTCATCTGTTGAGTAACTACTTGGAATCATTAATAAATAGCTGGCATCACCGTTGTACTATCATACACACATTCTACATTTCAAGAAGCAAACATCAAGCCGCAACATTCATTTTCTATGTTTTCCACATTCATATCACATACACAATTTTTATACCCCATACACGCCTGCATAATATTATGTGAACATAATAACATTGATTCACACTTTGTCATCTCACATATATACAGTGACGTATTCATATACATACATATCCGATCCATGATTCTTCATTTTTGTTTGGGTGGTTGGGCGGTGCAGTGACAAAAAACTGGTCTTTCAGGTAAGTGACTGGTGTGATCCCCTAATCAGATGTGAAAAGGTATGGTGTTCACCCGCCTGACCATGTGGGTTTTCCCCTGTTCTCATGTTTCCCCTCACCTGCCTGACCATGTGGGTTTTCCTCTGTTCTCTGGTTTCTTCCTCACTTGTCTGACCACATGGGACTTCCAATGTACTCTGGGTTACCTCCTCACCTGTCTGACCATATTGGTTTTCCCCTGTTCTCTGGTTTCCCCTTCACCTGCCTGACCATGTGGGTTTTCCCCTGGCCTGGTTCTCTGGTTTCCCCCTCACCTGCCTGACCATGTGGGTTTTCCCCTGTTCTCTGGTTTCCCCCTCACCTGCCTGACCACGTGGGTTTTCCCCTGTTCTCTGGTTTCCCCCTCACCTGCCTGACCATTTGGGTTTTCCCCTGTTCTCTGGTTTCCTCCTCACCTGCCTGACCATGAGGGTTTTCCCCTGTTCTCTGGTTTCCCCCTCACCTGCCTGACCATGTGGGTTTTCCACTGTTCTCTGGTTTCCCCCTCACCTGCTTGACCATGTGAGTTTTCCCCAGAACTCTGGTTTCTTCCTCAGCTGTCTGACCACATGGGTTTTCCCCAGAACTCTGGTTTCTTCCTCATCTGTCTGACCACATGGGTTTTCCCCTATTCTGTGGTTACCTCCTCATCTGTCTGACCACATGGGTTTTCCCCAGAACTCTAGTTTCTTCCTCATCTGTCTGACCACATGGGTTTTCCCCTATTCTGTGGTTACCTCCTCATCTGTCTGACCACATGGGTTTTCCCCAGGACTCTGGTTTCTTCCTCATCTGTCTGACCACATGGGTTTTCCCCTGTTCTCTGGTTTCCTCCTCACCTGTCTGACCCCATAGGTTTCCTACACTTTTTTCTTCTTCAATAAGACTTCTTGTACCTTTCAGTTCGGGCCATTGAGAGTGACTGATCTATGCTTATGGCTTGTTTAAAGTGATATTCGGTTCAAGTTAAGATATCATCGGATGCTTTTGAAGAAAACTATGCAAAATCATCTACTAATGTTCTTATGGAAACTGTACACTTCATTTTACCATTTAAACAAGCTTATGATATTCAGTTTTTGAAAATTCTATATAAATCTAGCTAGATCGTTTTACAACTGTTCACATAAACCTGATTGCATCATAACAGGTTTGCATTGTTGTAAGCTGAACAGAATGAAACATTTGTGTAAATTATAAAATCAACAGAAAATAAGCCTAATGAAGTAACAAAATTGTAATCCCAGCAGAAATTTTAGTGACCAGTAACCACACTTTTGGTTTGGCTCAGAATATTCCCACCAATTTCATTTGTCCAAACTGATCACTGGAGAGATGTTTTAGGTTCTTAAAAGATACTGGATAGCCAGAAGATTTTTAATGTGATATAATACAAATACAAAACAAAACAAAAAAATTCAGGCCTTCACACTTTCCTACCTGCACTATTATCGTCATCGTCGTCGTCATCATTATCATTATTTTGTCTTCTTCATTTTCATCTTATTAACAACATCAAGTTCTACACCTGATTTGATTTTGGTGATTATGCTCAAGGTTCAAGTGTCAAAGGTCACGTATGACAACTATAGAAGAATTAAATGTATTAATTACTGAAGATGTATACTGAAATATTCCTATTGAATGTAATTCTGTTGTCTTTAAGTTCTATATTATTTTCATTTCCTATAAGGAGGAAGTAGAAGATGACATAGATGAAATCATTGCCAGAACCTACGCCACGAAAAGTAGAATCCCAAAGAGACCAGTGCATGCACCAGGCTACCCTAAGTAAGGAGTGCAGTAATCAAAACTGATGAAACTTTTGAAGCATGTGTTTTGATTTGATGTTAGCAACACATTTGCTATTAATATAATATTTTTAACAATTGTTTTGAAAACTTGATACTCTATACCAACTTTCTTTCACGACATCAAACTTTTTCGATTCTAGCAATTCAGCAAGATGTCAAAGATTTACTCTCACCAAATTAAAATTTGAAGTACATGTACAAGGTCTTTATATTAAACATGAAGGGAGCCCTATATCTGATTGCTAATTATGTCATGATTGGGTCTTTTTTGTTTACTCAAACAAATTGCTTCATTGTCACTTTAAATGTAATATTTCAAGCATAAACCAGGATGGACTAGCAGATTTTAGTACATGCTTAATATCATATCAATATGGTCAAATTGGTCAACAAAAACAGCTCAAGTGAGCTTTTCATAGAGTATATGACAGTAATGACCTATTCATAGACTGGATTGACTTTTGACACCTTAATAACAGAGAATTTGGAACAATAATGGGTGTCTTCTGTTTTTGTTTCAATGGCAATATAAAAGTAGATCAGATTTATTTAAAAGCTTGTATGGCAGGTTGGCCGTCATTGAATTCAAACATGCTTGCTATCCCCATTAGAGATTTTCACACACTTCTCGAAATTGAACACTCAAAGGAATATATTGTTCTTGATATTGGAATAATCAGCTGATTTACAAATTGTGCTATCGATGTGTGTACTGTACACGTATCAAACAGATTCTAGATAAACAGCATGTGAGAAAGTAGTCATGAAATACAAACAACAAATGCAGACTAAGAAACTCTGTTTTCATGATGTTTTAATTGCCTTGGAAACAATTTAGATTTTTGAAATTTTGCTCTGATTATGAAATTCCTGAAAAGTAATGACACAAGCAAGTTGGTATTTAGTACCTATAGAACTTTTGAATCAGGTGATTTTATTTTTACATAAAATTTCTTTAAACCAACATTTTTTGGTGTCGCTTGAAGCACATTATTCTATATATAACTGTAAACCAGTGACTAACTTTCACAAGTTCAGCAAAACAACTTTGTGGCAATATCCTTTAGAGTATTCTAAAGCACATTGTGAAATTTGAAGTCTTCATTCAAACCCAGCAGGGAGCTAAATTTGTTTAGTTGCTAATTATGCCAGGACAGTCAAGATTACCAAAGGGTGTGTGAAGGACATTGGTCAGTTGCATGTCCACTTCATAAACAGATAAAGATAGCAGATATATGTGTGGCACAATTAGCTGATGAATAAAGGAATGTAATTAATTTCATTAAGGTGTTTAATGCTTCTTTTTCCATAGCTGTGTAAAGGTTGATCATAGTTACATAAGTGCTTGTAAAGTTTCCTATACAAGCGATCCAGTCTTTCTGATATGTTAGTGATCGTTACCTAAGATTACAAATTCTTCAGAATCAACACAGGTAAAAAACAACAGATTTCTGAAACATAAAACATGCTGTAGTTGTATGTATGAGGTAGTTTCAGCTAAATAATAATGCACTGTTAATCAGCAAATTTTGAAGGAAAGCCTAGCTGTATGTTATTTTCCATTTTGCAGCTGGTATCGTGATTTGTGCCCCAAGAATTCTGCCCCTGGCTGGAGTGTCGGCCCATCCCTCATCAGCACCCTGGTCAGGGTCACACCCAAACTGATGAGGATGACTTGGGATGGCTACCCTCTTCACTACAGTGACAAGTATGGCTGGGGTTATCTTGTGCCTGATCAGGAAAAAGCAGCCATGGACTTGCAAGAACTAGACACAGCACAAGAGGAAGGGAAGCCAAGATTTCCTATAGAGTAAGAAAATTCTGTGTGGATAATCTTGATGTATAGCTTCTGAGGGTTACCAAAGAAATCAAGAAGTTCATTCACCTGTCCTTTCCAAAGTAAAGGGTTCAGGATATTGGGCTGTAATTGGATCCTTGAATCTGAAATAAATAAATAAATAAATAAATAAATAAATAAATAAATGATAAAGTTTAAGATTCATGCTGTTCTTGTGTATATTGTATATTGTCCTTTATCATATTGTATGGTATTGATAATATGGTCAATGTATTATCCTTCAACAATTATCAGAAGGAAGCATCACTTTATGATTAATTTGGGAAATCTTACTTGGACTTAAAGCACATGAAATTACTCATACAACTCTCTTAATGATAACTGGATCAGACAAATTGTATACAAAGAAATACGGTTCCAAACCTTCTACATTCTAGTTCCATCAATGAAAATAACAGATGATTTAAAGTCAAATTTGAGGTAAAATACTACTTTTAACGTGGAATAAATGGGAAAATAAACGCATAAAAAGGCACATACCAGATAGATTTCAACCAAATTAAAAGGTCTTATCAAGAATATTGTCTTTTGTAGGTCAGTGTTCAAGCTGTGTGGGATATCAAAAGACTCAGAAAAGAATGAGGTCCTGAAGGACTTTGAAAATAAGATGGACTCTGTGATGAAGGATGCAGCTGTGGATTTAGATTGGGATGAACGGGCTCGCCATTTAGACAAAGCTAATATCAAACGAGAAAGACGTCATTCCGTCATACGTGATCGGGAAAAAGGAGTAAGCATACAATATATAAGAATGAGGATTGGATTTCTGGTGTCAGGTTTAGTAGGTGTCATCAAAGGTCATTAAAGTCACATCAAGGTCAGTCCACAACATGTATAGTATTAGGTTTGGTATTCTTTGATATAATAACTGATAGAACAGCTTATTTTTACACTATTCATACTCTTATCATGTCATATCTTAGGGCATATGGTGTTGCCCTTATCTATCATTCCAACATTCTCTCATTTCATCATGATTTTGTCTCTGCTGATTAACTCTTAAACATCTTTAATTGTAGAACTGTAATTTGGTATGTAGATGTATAATGATAAGAAACAGGTGAATATTGGAGAGCTTTCTTTCAGTGGGTATAAGAGCAAAAAAAAAAAAAAAGATTAGCAAATAAAATTTTATTTCACATTCCTTCCTATTCATTTTGCAAGCAGAACTTTAATTTTCATGAGTACATCTCTTAGCAAAGCCAATATCACTAAACAGTTCCAAAATTCTACTTATTTATCAGCATTCTTTTGCTCAGACACATCTACTTGGATTATGTCATGTGTATGTTCTTACCGGTTTACCTGGTGATAAGATAACCCATATCTGTAGTGTTGAATAAAATTGTGAATAAGCCTATATCTGTACTGCTGTGTAGAGTCGTGAATAAGCCCATATCTGTGCTGTTGTTTGGAATTATGAATGAGCCCATAGCTGTGTCATTTTGTAGTTTTGTGAACAAGCCCATATCTGTGCTGCTGTGTAGAGTCATGAATAAACTCACATCTGTGCTGTTATGTAGAATTGTTAACAAGCCTATATCTGTACATGTGCTGTTGTGTAGGATTGTTAACAAGCCTATATCTGTACATGTGCTGTTGTGTAGGATTGTGAACAAGCCTATATCTGTACATGTGCTGTTGTGTAGGATTGTGAACAAGCCTATATCTGTACATGTGCTGTTGTGTAGGATTGTGAACAAGCCTATATCTGTACATGTGCTGTTATGTAGAATTGTTAACAAGCCTATATCTGTACATGTGCTGTTGTGTAGGATTGTGAACAAGCCTATATCTGTACATGTGCTGTTGTGTAGGATTGTGAACAAGCCTATATCTGTACATGTGCTGTTATGTAGAATTGTTAACAAGCCTATATCTGTACATGTGCTGTTGTGTAGGATTGTGAACAAGCCTATATCTGTACATGTGCTGTTGTGTAGGATTGTGAACAAGCCTATATCTGTACATGTGCTGTTATGTAGAATTGTTAACAAGCCTATATCTGTACATGTGCTGTTGTGTAGGATTGTGAACAAGCCTATATCTGTACATGTGCTGTTGTGTAGGATTGTGAACAAGCCTATATCTGTACATGTGCTGTTGTGTAGGATTGTGAACAAGCCTATATCTGTACATGTGCTGTTGTGTAGGATTGTGAACAAGCCTATATCTGTACATGTGCTGTTGTGTAGGATTGTGAACAAGCCTATATCTGTACATGTGCGGTTGTATAGAATCATGAAAAAGCCTATATCTGTACTTGTGCTGTTGTGTAGAGTCATGAACAAGCCTATATCTGTACTTGTGCTGTTGTGTAGAGTCATGAACAAGCCTATATCTGTGCCCTTGAGTTTTTAGTTAGAGATGTTTGGTGCCTTGGATTATTACAGGAAGGATATAGTTATACTTAAATGATGAAACTCTTTCCTTCACACTCTGTCTAATATCTTCCACATTTAATTGGTCATTCTGCCAATATGCTGAGAGAGAAAGTGTGTTAACCTTGTAGATCATCCTGGAGCCGATGGAAGATGAGAGAGTACCAGGATGTCATTTCATTCCACTCCCACACAAGGTAGGTAAGAGAAAATATTACACCTAAAATGTCATTTGTCAAAATGATCAAATTTTCTAACTGTTTAAGGAACCTGTTCATTTTTGCAATCTTTTTTGTTTCTTTTACACATTGCAGAATCTTTCTTCATGTTTGATGATTTTTGTTTTGCAGAATGGTAAAGGCAATCGTGTTGGGAACCCACTGGCACGTGACTATCTTAGTAAAATTGAGGAGGGGACATTGAAGGCCTTGTCTGGTACAAGTGCTCAGCGCATTCTCACACTCGGCAGCATGTCGTCCTATTGGAAGAACAATATGAAGAGAATTGAGTAGGTAGTATACTCTACAGCTCCTAACATAAGCCAAGTGGGACAGGATGTGCATTTTATGCACATCTATGACCAGGTGTTAAAAATAAAGGATAGCCAAATTGACTCCAATCGTACCATGTTACCATCTTCTGTACTTTTTTAGGTCATCTGACCCAAAGGGTCAAGATGACCTATAGCCATCGTGCTTCGTCCGTTGTTGTCCGCCGTGCGCCGTCCGCCGTGTGTAAACTTTTCATTCAAACAACTTCTTCTCAAATACTAGAAGGTCGAGGGGGCTAATACTTGGCACAGAGGATACTGGCATGGAGCTCTACCAAGTTTGTTCAAATGAATGACCTTGACCCACTTTAAAGGTCACAGGGGTCAAATATGTTAAAATCTTTAAACAACTTCTTCTCATTAACCAAAAGGCTCAGAGTGTAGATATTGGGCCTGTGACATGCTGGGATGAAGTGCTACTAAGTTTGTTCAAGTGAATGACCTCAACCCACTTTTTAGGTTTGGCTTGCTTTTTGTCAGATGACCGTTAAGGCCCATGGGCCTCTTGTTTCTCTTTTCAACCTGTTTACCATCTTGTCGTACTATTTTCAAACTAAGTGATACAAAAGATACAAAACTGTTACTTTGTATAAAGTTTGGCTCTATACTCAACAGGACACAAAACTGTTACTTTGTATAAAGTTTGGCTCTATACTCAACAGGATATAAAACTGTTACTTTGTATAAAGTTTGGCTCTATACTCAACAGGACACAAAACTGTTACTTTGTATAAAGTTTGGCTCTACACTCAACAGGATATAAAACTGTTACTTTGTATAAAGTTTGGCTCTATACTCAACAGGACATAAAACTGTTACTTTGTATAAAGTTTGGCTCTATACTCAACAGGACACAAAACTGTTACTTTGTATAAAGTTTGGCTCTATACTCAACAGGATATAAAACTGTTACTTTGTATAAAGTTTGGCTCTATACTCAACAGGATACAAAACTGTTACTTTGTATAAAGTTTGGCTCTATACTCAACAGGACACAAAACTGTTACTTTGTATAAAGTTTGGCTCTATACTCAACAGGATACAAAACTGTTGATTTGTATAAGGCTTGGCTCTATACTCAGTTGGATACAAAACTGTGACACTGTATAAGTGTTTGTTATATACTCCATAGGAAAGGATAAGGAAACTTGGTCTATACATTGATCTTATGAAACGATGTGCAATGTACCAAATTCAGGGCCCACAACCCCTTAATTGCTCTTTGTTAAATTTGTGTGTCCAGAGCAAAAACACTTCTATATAACCTAGGATAATGAAACTTGGTGAATGTGTTGTTCATGCTAAGACAATGTCTAATGTACCATTTTCAGGGCCCTTGAACCCTCAATTACAAAGTTATTACCCTTTGATAATAATTTCTTGCCCTGAGTATAACTTTCCTATAGTGAAGTAAGGATCATAAAAAGTGTAGGCATTGATCATACTAAGACAGTGTACAGTGTACCAAATTAAAGGCCATCAACCACTCACTTTCAGAGTTATTGCCTTTTGTTAAAATTGTGTGTCTGGAGCTTTACTTTGCCTGTATTCAAACTAGAATATTGTAAACTGATGATCTAGATATACAAAAGCAAGGTGCAATGTGGCAAAGAGTTATTGCCCTTTGTTAAGATTTTGTGTCATGAACAAAGCTTTGCTTTCATGAAATCTAGGAGCATGAAACTTGGTGTATACATTGGTCATATGAAGAGAATGTGCTGTATACCAAATTCAGGGCCTACAATCCCTTGATTTATTGCCCTTTGGCAAATTTTTCTATTGTAATGTCATTTACGGGGAGCTTTCATCAGTTTCACTGATACTCTTGTTATATATGTATATGTATAAAAATGTAATTAATCATATACATGTTATACCTACAGGAGTCAGATGGCCCTTGGTCTAACATCATCTGACCTGCCGGATTCCATCACCAGGTAGGTATTGCGTCACTGTTGTGATCTAACACAATGATCAGATAATGAGTTGAAATTATACTCTTCTCTCTGACCAGATAAGAGATTTCTTCAGGCACTCTGGCTTCCTAAGAGCTGTGAATATCATTGTTTTGGCATCAATTTTAATTGTATGAAAAATTTGATGATAAATGTTAAGTGGAACTTTGTTAAAGAAGGGTTCATAATTTGAAGAATTAAGGTTTGATTGTCTATTTTCTCCATGCAAGCAACAAAATAGATGATCAATCCTTATATTTACATGAGCCATTTTAAAAATCCTGCCACTCCAATGCTTTTGCATTACCCATTTTTAAAATCCGGCCACTTTATTTATATATTTATATAATAAATTTAATAAAATAAGGCATTTTAAGATTTTACTTTAATTTTTAATTACCACGGTAATAGGAAATTATTTTTTATAATAAACAACAAAGTGTTCTTCTGTTAGGGTTATATCATGCACTATAATAAAAGTAACAACACTACAACTTTGTGATCTGGTCACACCTAAAGCAAATCACATGATGTTGTAAAAATGAAAATACATTGAATTTTACATAATCCATAGATTATAAGAATATGGACATGGAACCTAGGTGTTGTGGAAAGTTTTTAGTGTCAATCTGGCCAAAGCAGTTAAGACACTGCTTTCAAAAGTGCAAGCTTCAACGTAGGCACACATTACAATAGAGTCATGTAGCCTAGACAAGTCCCAACACTTGATGATATCAAACTCATGACTTGTGTTTTGAACTTTTTAAGAAATGTCAAATTTATCTGACGACTTATAAACGTTATTTGATATAACGCAATCTGACTGATAGAACAGATCCCATTATAAATCAAATCTGGTATCATACTGTTTACAGGAGAAGATTTTCAAGTGTTAATTGTTAATGCAGTTATGCTTTCTGGATTATCAGCATGTTGTCAGATCATGTGTTTTTTCTACTCATTTTTCCAATTCTCCATCACACTGGCGTTTCCCTTCTTCCATTCTGTTGCAGACCATTAAAGTATTAATGCACCTTTCATTGCCATGTAAAACAGCTGTTTTATGTGTTAACTTGTAGAGGAGACATGCACAGCAATGTTACAAAATGATACACCATTGCATCAAAAGCATGTAGATGAAGGAGTATATCTGTGTGAGCCCCTCTTATTTTGATTTAAATATCAATAAATATACCTTAGATATTGAATTTAGAAGTTAGAGATATTTAACAGGTAGTTGATTTCTTTAATATCTTGATGAGTGAAAATTCTGAACAAAAAAATTTTGAGACAATCAGTAGTATGCACTGCTTTAAGATAAAAAATTACTTGTGTAGTACATATGCCCATAAATTCTGTATCTGTATATTTGGCAGTAAAACAGAATATGATGAGATGGATTTCCTTGGTGCTATTGTTCCACGGATTGTCCCCGCAGGAACCATCACCAGACGAGCTGTAGAACAAACATGGCTGACTGCCAGTAATGCCTATGTAAGTAGTGGCAGAGAAATACTGAACTGTAGCATTGATGTCATTAAGAGAAGCAGAGTATGGTAAAACATAAGCAATATGCTGAGATAATCACCATCTGGCTCAAATTAGGAAAGTGGACTTATCACAGCAGTGTTTCAGCTTTTGTTTGAATATCTGCTGAAACATCAACAGAAGTGAATTAGCTTACGCCGGGTTTTTTGGTTTCCTGGGTTCATCACCAATTTTTAAGTTTTATGTTTTAAATATAGTACCATATAAAGTCTATGATAGTCCCCATCTTGTGTTTATGTTTTGTTTTCTAAATAAAGTACGTTACAACTAAATCAATGTCAGTCACAGTCTTGTATTTTATTTTATTTTCGTGTAAATATTCATCTTCTACAGCCAGATCGTGTTGGCAGCGAGCTTAAGGCAATGATACAGACCCCACCAGGATACAAATTTGTAGGTGCTGATGTGGACTCTGAGGAGCTCTGGATAGCAGCTCTCATAGGGGATGCACATGCTAAAATTCATGGTACGTCAAGCTCTGCATGTTTCTGATAAAGTCTGTTTAATTAAAGCTCTGCATGTTTCTGATAAAGTCTGTTTAATTAAAGCTCTGCATGTTTGTAATATAATATACAAGAAGACATTTGTTATACAAGTAGAAAATAAGAAAGTCTTGGTAATTTGCATAATTAAAATTTGGTATGAGGTCAAACATTTCAATGTATAAGTTGATCTGAACAATTTTTTTGCCTGAAATATTCCTTTATTTTTGAAAAACAGATGTGTATTACATATTTCAAAAGTCCTTTTCAGCTCTTTTAAAGTAGCTTAGCATGGGGTGGTTGAATGAACTGTTTTATGTGAGGATATAAAATGCCCCTCAGAAAGTGTCTTTCTGTAAAGCATAACTATAACAATGACAACAATAGTTAAACTTTACTGTACATTTCCACTTCAAGGATGTACTGCATTTGGCTGGATGACTCTGCAGGGTAAGAAAAGTGACAAGACAGACCTACATAGTAAGACAGCCGACACTGTGGGGATCAGTCGAGATCATGCCAAGGTATACATGCTTGTTTTAGTGTTCACCGATCTGTAGAGGAAATGATAAAATCTGCAGAGAATTCTCCAATGATGAGATCACTAGAGTTGCTCGAAAATGGTCTGTAGCAATGATCTCAAGCTTTGAGAAATTTAAATAAGTCACAGAATTGAAGTGCCATACTTAATGTGTCTCTAGGGATATAAGGGAAATTGAAACATGTAGTTTACGTTTATATTCCTATAATAGAATCATTCATATATATATATGTGTGTGTGTGTGTGTGTGTGTGTGTGTGTGTGTGTGTGTGTAAATATATATAAGAGTTGGTCAGATATCCGCTTTAGCTGCCCAGTGTTTTGTTTTTACAAGGGAAACCTCAAAACAGGAAAAATAGGAAAACCATGAGGATGTCACCTGTAGATTAAGGTTGTTTCCTCCTCATCCATTGCACGCTTTCACACATTTCAGATCTTCAATTATGGGCGCATTTATGGAGCTGGCAGGATGTTTGCCCAGCGTTTGTTAATGCAGTTCAATCACAGGTTGACAGAGGTGGAAGCCACAAAGAAGGCAAACATAATGTATACCACCACAAAAGGCAAACGGTAGGTTAGCCTCCATAATGGTAGGCTGACATGTATTTCAGCTCACAACACAACCATATGTTTGTCCTTATATGGTAAGCCAACATTTATTTCACCTCAGGGAGGGGGTAAATTTTAATATTGTTTATATGAGAAAAACAGATTTTTGAACATTATTTGTTTAATTTGCGTTGGAAATATTTCAGACTTGGTTAGAATTATGAACAAAGGATTACAATTTTATGGTATACCCATATTGATTCTGGCTGACCCACAGGGACTGATGGGGGGTGGGGTGGGGATTAAGTTGCTGTATACAGTTGAGACATGTGCACATCAGTCCGCCTGGACATCGCCGCAATGACAGGCGATCAGGATGAAATTTTAAAAATAATATGAACTGTTGCACGATAATGATGTTTCCTTGCTGTACATGTAAAATGTACATTTACAAGTGAAACGTTTGTGAATTCAGCACCACACCAATCTTCTGTTAAGTCTCTGTTAAATCCTGTGTGAAATTCTGTGACAAACAATGCACCAAATGCATGTAGTCACTAGAAAAATCACTCTTCATGTGATCCACTTCATGATATCAGACCTTTACTTATCGTGTGATCCACAACACAATATCAGACCTTCTCCTATCTTGTGATACACAGCACAATATCAGACCTTCACCTATTGTATAATCCACAACACAATATCAGACCTTTACTTATCGTGTGATCCACAGCACATTGTCAGACCTTCACCTATCATGTGATCCACAGCACATTGCCAGACCTTCACCTATTGTGTGGTCCACAGCACGATATCAGACCTTTACCTATTGTGTGATCCACAGCACAATATCAGACCTTCACCTATTGTATAATTGGCAGAAAAAATATTGTCATTTAATGATTTAATGATACTTAGAAAGTAGAAATTGCTGTTTGGTTATTTAACTGTGAAATTTTACCAACTCTTAATGGTCTGGTTGTTCTATGTGAAAACAATAAATAGTTACCATTTAGAAAGCTAGATTTTCATTCAGATATACAACTGTACCATTGTAGATTGCTTCTTTCAGGGATGCCGTCCATCAATTTCAACTCAGAAATTATCATAGCTTTGTGACTTATGGTTTTAATCAAAAGTAAATATCTTTTTTCCATAAACAACATTCCAGAATGAAGGCATTACATGAAAATGAAGATGGGGGCCTTTTTTATAAGTGGATGTGGGCAGGTGGCAGGTAATGGTTTATTATTGTCTGATGGTCAACATTTTTGTATTCATGACTTATGACTCAGAATTTCGATTCTTTCAATAAGTTCTCCATATAAATTGATATGTTTTGAATATATTTTCCTTGCAGTGTTACTATGTAATCCTAGTAAGTTCTATTTTGGGTTATAGAGCTAAGAACCTTAATGTGTATGAATATAAACATGAATTTGATGCAAGCTTGTTTTAACGAGAAGTTATAGAAAATGTTATTACATTTCAAAACTATCACACACGATTTCATGTCTTGGATGAAATCAAATCAGCTTGTTTATAGATTAAAAAAGTTAATATTGTTAAATACGAAAAAATTTGCTTTCAATCACCCCCTGCTTACAATATGTAAATCCTTATTGCTAGGAGGTACAGTTTCGTTTTTGTATCTTCTGAAATAGTGCAGCTGGTGTCACTAAACTAACACAACACATCTTGAGGAAGACTATTTGTAATCCTACTCACAATGTAGTCAACTGGCATTATAATGTACACCTCCTTGTTGGAACAGTTGTTCTCCAAATAAAAATAAAAAAATGGCGTCCATGGCTACCATTGTACTTAATTTTCAAATTCAACTGACATGTCTTCATAATATAACATAATAAATACTTGAGATTGTTATCATAATGAATGTTATCATCATCGTGGATTTACATATCAAGTAAACCAGAAGGATGAAAAGGTTTGTACTATATCTTGATAAAGTGCTTTTTATAATAGCAATTTCCCATGAACTTTATTTAAGAATCTCCATCAGAGGAGAAAGTGTGTGACAAGTTTCCATCACAGGAGAAGGAAAACATCCTTTGGGCTGTACTGCCAATTAAACATATCCAGTGGCTTTTAGAAATTTATTCCATCTTATTTATTGTGGTAAATAATTTTTTGTAATTATGAACAAAAGTATTAAGCCGTTTTTTGATCAGATTATAAACAATACGAATGCTGGCTGCATTACAGGAAAATGTCATGAACCACATTTTATCAGTTTTTAATGATTAGAAAAAAGGTAATTTCTTTCACACAGTTTATTTTCAATATCATTATTTTTTAGACCAACTTTTAGAAGAATGTGTAGAATACTGCTTTAAGGCTGTAATTCTGAATTAAATCATTTTAAATCAATTCATTAATTATGATATTCACGAATATTAGAAATTAAGAACACATATGGACATTGTTATGATGCCCTTTTCATGCCTGGAGCATGACTTTGTCCAGAGTTAAGCAAGGATCATGATCGTGTGCATCAGTTACACTAAGACGATGTACAGTGTACTAGATTCAATGCCCACAATCTTTTCTTTACAGATTCCTCTTTGTTAACATAATATCTTTGCTTGCATGTGAATTAGATAATGAAACTATGGTATAGATAGGTCATACTAAGATGATATATAGTGTGCCACAGTCAGGTCCTATAACCCCTAAATTACAGACTTTTTGCTCTCCTTTAAAAATTTTGTGTCTGTAAAAACTATTCTTACCTTTAAATTAGGGTACTGAAACTTTGTGTATACATGGATCATAATAAGATGATGTACATTTTACCAAAACTGGTTGTAAATACAAGTATTACTGTTTCAGTGAGAGTGAAATGTTTAACCAGCTAGAAGCCATAGCGACCAGCAACAATCCAACTACTCCTGTCTTAGGCTGTCACATCAGTAAAGCCTTGGAGCCCAAGTATGTTGGTGATGATGTAAGTAACTTGTGGAAACTTTGTTGATGATAAGATACATTATAGGCTGGAATGATGTGTGGTGACCTCCTCTTCAGTCAGCACATTAAATGACCGCCTCTTCAGTCAGCACATTAGACGACCTCCTCTTCAGTCAGCACATTAAATGACCGCCTCTTCAGTCAGCACATTAGATGACCTCCTCTTCAGTCAGCACATTAAATGACCGCCTCTTCAGTCAGCACATTAGATGTCCGCCTTTTCAGTCAGCACATTAGATGACCTCCTCTTCAGTTAGCACATTAGATGTCCGCCTCTTCAGCCAGCACATTAGATGACCTCCTCTTCAGTCAGCACATTAGATGACCGCCTCTTCAGTTAGCACATTAGATATCCACCTCTTCAGTTAGCACAATAGATGACCACCTCTTCAGTTAGCACATTAGATGACCTCCTCTTCAGTCAGCACATTAGATGTCCGCCTTTTCAGTCAGCACATTAGATGACCTCCTCTTCAGTCAGCACATTAGATGTCCGCCTTTTCAGTCAGCACATTAGATGACCTCCTCTTCAGTCAGCACATTAGATGTCCGCCTTTTCAGTCAGCACATTAGATGACCTCCTCTTCAGTCAGCACATTAGATGACCTCCTCTTCAGTCAGCACATTAGATGTCCGCCTTTTCAGTCAGCACATTAGATGACCTCCTCTTCAGTCAGCACATTAGATGACCGCCTCTTCAGTCAGCACATTATATGACCTGAAAATCTTGTTCACCCAGTTTCTTTTCCATTGTAAATCACATTGTCACATAATCATTGTAAGCATGACAAAATATTGTCATGTGTTTATTCTAATTTTCCTGCCTGTGTTATGTAATAACATCAGATAATTAATTGATGTCAGTTGAAATAATTTCTGTTAATATCATATTGGTATTCTTGTTAATATTATCCCAGTTGAAAAATTGCATGATCATTTAAAGGATGCATTTAATCTTGTTAATATCATGTCTGGTAAATTGAAACTAGTTAATATTTTAATTAACTTTTTACATGATGATATTTGAATTGATTCCTTTTAATTTCATGACATTTGAAATTATTCCTGTTTGTCATGTCTATTGAAATGATCCCTAGATGAATTGATTTTTGTTAAAGATCATATCATGTTGTTCGCATTGAATCTTCCTAGTATCATACCATCTGAAATTATTCCTGATAATACAAAAGATGAAGTAACTCTTGTTAATATCATGTCAGGTGATGTATACTAGTAAATATCATGTCAGGTGATGTATACTAGTAAATATCATGTAATGTAAAATGATTTTTCTTTATACCATACCTGCTGAATTGATACCAGTTAATATTGTGTCATTTACCAAACAAAAGGTAATTTAAAGTGAAATACAATGAACATAATGCAGATCCAGCTGGTTTTAGAAAATATTGATCTTATTCATATTAAGGAAAATTTACATATATTTTAAACTTGTTGGGAAACTTGAAGCTGCTTGATATAAACGGCCAGGTGCAGAGAGGGAGGCACTATAAACAATTGGTGATAGTCGACAGGTGTTGATTGTATAAATGTTTGTAAGTCACATAGAATATATTGAATGTGATGTGATGCTTCAGGAAAACATGATGTTAAGTAACACTTTATGTTTAATTCACTTTTCTCTCTTTATATTTTTGTAGTTTATGACAAGTCGTGTGAACTGGGTCGTACAGAGTTCTGCGGTAGATTACCTTCATCTGATGCTTGTGTGTATGCGATGGCTGATTGACGAGTACGATATTGATGCTCGTTTCTCCATCAGTATCCATGATGAAGTGCGTTACCTGGTAGCAGAAAAGGACAAATATCGTGCTGCGCTGGCATTACAAATCACCAATCTCCTCACACGTTCCATGTTTGCATATAAACTTGGAATGAATGATCTTCCTAGGGTAAATATATATCAGGTGAAGCGTAATTGCTCTCACCAGACTCAAGTTCACCACCCACTGTTATTACCTATTAGAGAGATACTTAAGATCTATATTCTGTGACATTTTTTTAGCATAGTAGACATCTCTAAACCATGCAGCTCTCTATATGTCCCTATTACACATAAAAGGCAGTATTTTTTTGTCTTTTCACCTCTGTACAATATAATAGGAGGGTTTTTTGTGTCAAACTACTCAAAGGTCAATGTTAAACTTCTGTTTTTCAATCTGCATCATTCACACTAATGTTATAAATCCTGAATATTTCTGTAGTTTGCCAGTACTGTAGACTTTGCTAACCCTTAACATTTGTTTCCAGTCTGTGGCATTCTTCAGTGCTGTGGACATAGACACCTGTATGAGGAAGGAGGTGATGTTGGATTGTAGAACGCCATCAAACCCTCAAGGAATGGAGATGGGTTACGGTGTGATGAATGGTCAGTAAATTGTAACCAAATTACCTGCTATGTTATCATCATAAAAATTACTTTTTGTAAATTGTTATTGACAACAAATAACTATCTTCATTTCCTGGCAAAGTACTGCTCGTACACAAAGTTTTGTATTGTTTTGTGGTCTGGTCCAAATGAAGTTTTAATAATAATAATAATGATTTTTATAATTAATAGTAATGATATTGGTTGTAAAATTTCAGTAAATAATACTTTTTTGCATGCTTCAGGATTGTTATGTTTGTTACAGGTGAGGCACTTGACATTTTGGAAATACTTGAGAAAACTGATGGTGGTTGTCTAACCTCAAACCCAGAGACGGGAACAATGACTGATGGTGGCTGTCTAACAGCAAACCCAGAGACAGGAACAATGACTGCTGATAATGATGATACAATCCTGGAAAGACAAGCATCTAATGCGATTTGAACCTGCTGTCCTTTCATGGACTGATATCTTGTTTTTGATCATTTAGGGGAATGACATCTCAGCATTTTTACCACTTTTGTGTTCAGCTGCTGGCGTCTCAATCTGTCAAAGAATCACTGGAGATGCTGTTTTGAAATAGCATTCATATAATGTTTTAGAATCAAAAGCATATTATTTTACACTTTTTTTGTTATCTCTTGTTTTACATCATCCTTCCGTCATCACACATACATGTACCAGGACCACTGACTATGTTTTCAGTACACATAGTAATACTTTTCACATACTCTTTATTGTCAGAAATTGTATACATTTATATCTGAGTGGTGTCAGCTTACTCTGTTCCAGCCGACTTGGATCCGATAAGATACCAGGAAAGAGAATTCTAACTTTATGTGAAAGGTTATTAAAAATCACCTTGAATGAGCTTTCAGGCTAACATTAAGGCCAGTTTGTTATTATTATGTTGATGTAACAGCATATTTGATTGAATTAAGTTCAATATATTGATCACATGCCAGGCTGATAAAACATGGGGTTGTATGTTCATGATTGAGTCACCCCTATTCAGAGCCTCTTTTAAAATCAGCTGGAAGTAGAGGTTTTTGCCTGTGTGTTTCAAATTCAAACAAAACTACAAACAAACAGATGAAGAATTGGTGATCCAATGTTTATAAAAAAAATTAGTCTCCGTTTTCAATACCGGTGTAATGAAGAATTGATGGTCCTGGTTACAGTGCAACCATGTTGTCTTCCGTCCATCAGCATTTTTATTTCTAAAGATTTTCTTAGAAACCAGAAGCTAAAATTCTTCCATAGGAATTTTATCATCCTTGTAACCGTTAAATAAACATGCAGGTGATGGGTGTTAAAGGTCAAGGTCAGACTCCAAGCTCTTATTAAAGTCGTAGACAAATGAAATTTTCATTCCATTATGAAGCCAAATTTGGTTGAAATGAAACAATAAGTAATTTAACCAAAGGTTATGATATTCAGATATGAAAACAATGTCCGATTTCTTTTTCACATTTTTAAGAAGTCTTGATGGGTTCATTAAAAGGCCAGCCGGCAAAAAGTCAAGGTCATTAAACTGAAACTTTGCTTTAAAACCATACTTTTTCTTAGTAACTCAGCATATTTCAACCAACTTTGGTCTGAAGTTATGTTGTTGATGGGCAATACTTACTTTAATTCAGAAATGTGATTCAACCTCTGGAGACTGAGGAAGCGATTGGGGAATTTGGAAAAAAATTTTGCTTTAAATACTTACTCTTCCGTAACACCTTGGCATGTATCACCCAGATTTGATCTGAAACATTCTGGGTGGATAATCATTTCTTCAAATCAGAAATATTATTCTACTTTTAGGGACTGGGGGAAAGGACCCTGAATGGGAAACTTGGAAATGGTTCCACCTTCAAACCCTACTCTTCCAAATAGGTCTGAACAATCACTGGTGGGTGATTGTTTCCTCAATTAAGAAAATTGGTTCAACCTCTGAGAACTGGGGGTGGGGCCAGAATGGAAATTTGTTTTAGTCAAAATTTTGCTTTCTACTGCTGGTATTCCTTAATGCCCTAGTGGATTTCAACGGAATTTTGCTGAAAGGGCAATAATACTTGGGTATATGAAATCAATGGCTCCATCGTCAAGTCACCATTAAGGCCCATGGGCCTCTTGTTATGTGTAAATTTCAAGATTTTCAAATGGTCTTTTATTCATAGGCTTTGGATTGAAAGCAGAATAAAAGTTCTTTAACACAACCAATAGAAGATTTGAGGACGATGTTTTAATGACTACTTGGTTATCTTCACTTTTATTCTATACTAACTTGAAGAAAATGTTCTAAATATTTGGTTTGAGTTTTCTTCAGTGTTACCCAGTATACAATGTTGTTATACCACTGTGTGGATGCTATAAAGAAATCACATATTTTGACCAGATTTAAAATTTGTTGTCAATGACTTGTAAGAGTGAAGCTATGCTGTAGATGTATTGTGTGATGACAATTATCATGATACATACGTACCAACACATGGAATAAGGTTCAACTAGACATGTATAGGAATTACCATATTCCTGTGTTGGTCCTGATCATAATGTGATGGTATACCCTGATATATGACTGGGTCATGATACTGAAGCCTGCATGACCAGGAATATTAATGATGTTGTAAAGTGCTCGTTCAGGGACATGTCATGGAATCTCTACAGTGTCTACTCACATTCCTCATTGTTGTGATGTAAAAAAAGTCAATGTTGTGCCCTCACTCATGATTTCTTCAACACCATGATCAAGTATGTCAATGATGTTATCTGTTGATGAATGGGTTTGTTGACTTGTAAGCCATTCAGTTGACTGAATGAAATACTAGGGCAGCTTTCATTGTAACCTAGATTTACTTAGCACCGAAATATTTCACCTTAAACAAAGTCATTTGTAATAAGTCAACAAGAAAAAACTCTAATTACAAAAGGGTCAGAATTGTTTGTCAAACAAAGGACAACAAACCAACATCTGTGTTTGTTTGATTTTTTCATGTTTTATTTTGTAACATTTCCAAGAAAATGTTTGCTCTTCAATGTTTTTTATACAAAGAGAGTATGTAATTAATTTGAATTGTGTGAATGTGATTGTCTTCTACTCGCTCTGTTGCATTCTGGGAACTGGCAGAGGACACACAAGGGTCCTTGGGAAGATGTTGTCATTAGGACATCTATTTATATATGTTGACACTAAGTGAGCATTAAAGTGATTAGAATTGCTATATCAGACATCACTAATGCATCTCTGCATATGAAAATCTTAAATAAATTGTCCTGTATTGAATCAAATCTTCACTCATTGTAACAAAAATATCTCTTGATCTTCAGTGATATATTTTGAAATCATTTAAGCACAATTTTTTCAGCACAAGTCCATACCATACTAAGGTGGTAAGTGTTTTTTGATATAAAAGGTTTTATTGTTGCAGATCATGTGTTATAAATAAAGGTTATATTACAATATCAAGTGAACTTTGTTGTTTTTCTCTAAAAGTTCGGTTGTGTGCCAGTTTGCCAACACCAGTTAGATAAAAGAAAATGGAGAACAAAGGAAAAACAATTATAGTCTGCTCTTTAAAAGTTCCACCTGTTACCTGTACAGATAAATTTACCTGTATATAACATTTCTATATTTTCAAATTACTATGAAGTAAAAAGATGATATACATATGTATATAGAACTTTAGTTTCTTAAAATAAAAATAAAAGAAATTGATACTATTAAAAAAAGTATTTTTGATTTCATCAAAATATTATACATTCATAATATATACTTACATTTTAAATAAACATATATACAAGTGAATTAAGTAGCACTGCCAATATTAATTAACATAAAAAATTACTAATATTGTGAATGATGAATACAAATAGCACTAATAACATTAATGTAATTGTATAATAAACATGTAACACAAAATAGCATTCAAAGTTATTAAATTATCATACTTTGAAGTATTACACTTTTAGTACACAGAGTCACTTGATAACACTTATTCGTCGCTTAGATAACAAGGTGAGAAGCTACGTTGGCGTAATCTATCAGGTCCATTGTGTTGTTGTGGTTCGAGCCGTTGTTGTGAAGACATTCCTTCAGCTGTGCGAGTCTGTGTTCAATGGTCCGGTATTTCTTGGCCCGTGGTCTGTAAGATCCTCCTGTGCTGCGCTATATCCTGGTAATTTCGTTGACTGCCTGTATCTCCTGAAATATTCGGATCAGTGTGTAGATGTTCGGGTGGGAGTGTTGGTTCTTCTTCAGCTTCCCGTGCCAAGCTTCCAGCTGGTTGGTGGTTCTGGGTCCTTCCGTGTCGTGATGGTTCCACATGCGTTTGTTTCCTTCTATCCAATGAGTGACGACGTAATCAGTGAAGCGGGTTGTGTCGCAGGGTACATCAGCATCCTCCAGTTCCTCCAGGGCGTTGAACCAAACATCCTCAACGCAGTCCAGTGGTACAAGGGGTTGTACTGCTACTAATCTCACAAGGCGGCAGGGTATCTTTAGGCCGTTGGTCAGGGCGTTCTTCCGAATACACTGGGTGTAGTGGAAAAAACATCCACGGATGTTGACTGCAGGGAAGACTTGTCGAAGGGCGTTGTGGGCAGCTAACTCGAAGTCCAGGAATGCAGTCGTCGGGTTTAGTGGGAGGTAAACGTTGGCCATGGTCGTTTTCAACAAAGTGAAAAATCTGGTGTAGATCTCCTGTGTCTTTCCTGGTAGTAGAGCGTAGACCAAAGGATACATGTGTCCGTCTATCTGCGTGTATTGAGTAAATCTGGTAGAAGAGTTTTGGGCAGGTGTAGAATGTTCCGTCACAGTAGATGGTAATAATGATATAATAACACATTTGTTCAATACAAAACCCTATCTATATAAGTTAAGTTAAGTTTATTTCTGGTACAGGCTCGATTTTTCGACCCTCTACACCAGACTCCAACCATAATACATATATATACATGTATACACAAATATATACATTTGAATACAATGTTCATAAATATGTGTTTCCACATCTCATCAATAAATGTTAGTTAGATTATCATAATTGTTATATTGCGTTTGTTTTATCGGTTCCAAGTACAATGAAGCAACATTTTTTTTTTTTTTTTTTTTTTTTTTTCCTAAATAATTGAAGCTTTATAATTATAAACAAGTTCTTGAGAAGCCCAATGTTTATCCAGTCTATTTTTAAAAGTGTTAATATTTGGTGCTGATACTATATTCTCAGGTAAATTGTTCCATACATTGACCACTCGTTGGGAGAAGAAGTTCTTTCTAACGTTTGTTCTGGATCTCTCTGGGAATATCTTTCTAGAGTTTCCTCTGCTGCTGTTTTTCGCTGCTGCGCTGTTCCATGGTTTTAAGATGCTGTTGGTATCCTGATCATATATTCCGCTAATAATCTTGTAAGCCTCGATCATATCTCCTCTTATGCGTCGATATGCAAGCGTTGGAAGGTTTAATTTAACTAGCCTTTCCGGGTAGGATATATCCTTCATTCCTGGCAGTTGCTTAGTTGATCTTCTCTGGACACTTTCCAGCTTTTCAATATCCTTCATTTTGTAAGGCGACCAAACAGAACTGGCAAAGTCCAAATGAATCCTTACTAATGACTTGTATAATGGTATGAATGTCTGTTTATTCATGTATTCAAAAGTTCTCCTAAGCATGGCGAACATGGAATTGGCCTTGTTTACTTTTTCACTTAAATGATCTTCAAATGTGAGCTTATGATCTACTGTGATACCGATGTCTTTTTCTTTATTTGTTTGTATTAATTCCTGGTTGTTGATTGTATATGATGTTGATTCTTCCTTATCCATAGTTCCAATGCGCATATGTTTACATTTTTGTGGATGTACTTGCAAAAGCCATCTTTTGCTCCATTCTTCCATGCTCTGTAAGTCTTTTTGGAGAATTGCCTTATCTTCTTCATTTTCTATGATCCTAAATATTTTCGTATCATCCGCAAATAGAAACATGCACGAATTGACCGAGTCCGGTAGATCATTTACAAACATGACAAAGAGGATTGGTCCTAGGACGGATCCTTGTGGTATACCCGATGACACTCTAGTCCATTCTGAATGTTCACCATTTACAGTTACCCTTTGCATTCGGTTGTTCAGGAAGCTATTGATCCAGTTTAAAATTTGGTTTGAGAATTTGTATGCCTTAAGTTTACTCAATAGTCTATTATGGGGGACAGTATCAAAAGCCTTTTTAAAATCCAAATAAATACAATCTATTGAACGGCCTGTATCCAAAGCTTCTGTCCATTTATCCAAAACTTCAAGCATCTGCAATGAAATAGATCTCCCTGCCAAGAATCCAAATTGTTGTGGTGTGAACATATCATTCTGTCTCATATAGCTTACAATATGATCTCTTACCAGTGTTTCCATCGTTTTACAAATAATTGAAGTGAGGCTAACTGGCCTATAGTTACCAGCCTCGCTTTTATCGCCTTTTTTGTATATGGCCGTTATTTGAGCTTTCTTCCATGCTTCTGGTGCAGTACCTTGTTGAAGAGATTGGTTAAATAATAAAGTAAGCGGCGAGGCTATCGATGAAGAAATTTCACGTAGAACTCGTGGGTGTAGGTTATCGAGTCCTGGGGATTTATCCTTTTTCAACTTTTGCAGTACTTTCACAACTTGTTGTTCATTTATTACCATGTCTTGCATTTCACTTGTCATATCTTTTACTTCCATTGCTGGTATATTTCCATCTTCTTCAACAAACACGCTTTTAAAGAACTCCGCCAGTATGTTTGCCTTATCTTTATCACTACTTGTTTTCGGGGATGCTCTGTCTGTTTGATCCGTATATAAATCTCCAATACGCACTTTAGTTTTTGATTTTGACTTTATATATTTCCAGATTGCCTTTGGATTCTCTTTGGCCTTTAAAGACAGGTCTCTTTCAAATTTCTTTCTTAATTTTCTTGTGGCCTTTTTTGCCTGGTTCCTTGCCCTTCTATATTCCTTTTGAACTAGGGGGTCTTTGTTTGCTATTGCTTTTTTTGCAAGTGAATGCTTCCTTTTTATGATATCCTGTGTTGCATTGTCTAATGGTATGAATCCTTTTACTTTTCTATTATTGTTAACGGTCTTTGTGGGTATGTGTTTGCTTTCTATATCCTTGATCATGTTATAAAAGATATCCCAGTTCTCATCAATTGGGTTCGTGTTCAAGAGTGCAGCATTCCAATCAGTATTTCTGATGTCCTCATTTATCGCTCCATAGTTAGCTTTGTTATACATAACCACTGTTCTCTTCTTGCTTTTCATGATAGTATAACAATTGAAGTCCATTACCAGTACACAGTGGTCACTTTTACCAAGAGGGCTTTGCAAGTCCATATTTGTAATCATGTTTTCCTCATTGGTGATAACTAGGTCTAGGACGTTTGGGGTGTCTCCTCCTCTCCACCGAGTTGGCGTATATCTATCATATGAAATACTAAATACAATTATTGTAAATAAACAAGATGATAGTAAATACAATGAATAAATATATTATCTTTATAAAATACTAAATAGAATTAATGTAAATGTACAATTTCTAAAATTAACCAACTATATTAGCATACAATAACCACTGTATAAGTCTATAGTCAAAATGTTTGCCCACTAAGTATCTCCCACAGGTAAACAGACATTCTACAGGTAACCCGTAATTTAGAAACTGACTTTAATCCCTTAAAATAACATACCAGATAATTGGTGTTGGCAAACTGGGAACACCCCAAACTTTCCTCTGGAATATCTTCTAATCCTTTAACAGTCACATGTACTTATGATAAAAAAAAACGTACTTATATTATTAAAGTGATATCATTGAGTTGTCTGTATTTCATTAATTTTTCATACTCACTCGTACCAAAGAGTGAATTAGCCTAGAAAAGATTTAATATCATGTACCTTCTTAACAAACCAACGATCTGGTGTAATGTCACCCTATTAACAAACATATATTTGGGACATTGCACCTCTATTTAGAAATGTTTAGATCTGGTATATTTCATTTCTTTTCAACAAGCATAAAGATTTGGTGCCATTTACCCTTGTTAACAAATATTGGTACATTGTACCTCTAATCACCATCTTTAATCTAGTCAGAGACATATACGTCTCTGGTCTAGTACATATACCTCTAATAACAATCTTAAGTCTAGTACATTATACCTCTAATAACAATCTTATGTCTAGTACATTATACCTCTAATAACAATCTTAAGTCTAGTACATTATACCTCTAATAACAATCTTATGTCTAGTACATTATACCTCTAATAACAATCTTAAGTCTAGTACATTATACCTCTAATAACAATCTTATGTCTAGTACATTATACCTCTAATAACAATCTTAAGTCTAGTACATTATACCTCTAATAACAATCTTAAGTCTAGTACATTATACCTCTAATAACAATCTTAAGTCTAGTACACTGTACCTCTAATAACCATCTTACGTCTAGTACATTATACCTCTGATAACGATCTTAAGTCTAGTATATTGTACCTCTAATAACAATCTTAAGTCTAGTATATTGTACCTCTAATAACAACCTTAAGTCTAGTACATTGTACATGTACCTCTAATAACAATCTTAAGTCTAGTATATTGTACCTCTAATAATAATCTTAAGTCTAGTACATTGTACCTCTTATAACAATCTTAAGTCTAGTATATTGTACCTCTAATAACAATCTTAAGTCTAGTACATTGTACCTCTTATAACAATCTTAAGTCTAGTATATTGTACCTCTAATAACAATCTTAAGTCTAGTACATTGTACCTTTAATAACAATCTTAAGTCTAGTACATTGTACATGTACCTCTAATAACAATCTTAAGTCTAGTACATATACCGCTAATAACAATCTTAAGTCTAGTACATTGTACATGTACCTGTAATAACAATCTTAAGTCTAGTACATTGTACCTCTAATAACAATCTTAAGTCTAGTACATTGTACCTCTAATAACAATCTTAAGTCTAGTACATGTACCTCTAATAACCATCTTACGTCTAGTACATTATACCTCTGATAACGATCTTAAGTCTAGTATATTGTACCTCTAATAACAATCTTAAGTCTAGTATATTGTACCTCTAATAACAACCTTAAGTCTAGTACATTGTACATGTACCTCTAATAACAATCTTAAGTCTAGTATATTGTACCTCTAATAATAATCTTAAGTCTAGTACATTGTACCTCTTATAACAATCTTAAGTCTAGTACATTGTACCTCTTATAACAATCTTAAGTCTAGTATATTGTACCTCTAATAACAATCTTAAGTCTAGTACATTGTACCTCTTATAACAATCTTAAGTCTAGTATATTGTACCTCTAATAACAATCTTAAGTCTAGTACATTGTATCTCTAATAATAATCTTAAGTCTAGTACATTGTATCTCTAATAATAATCTTAAGTCTAGTATATTGTACCTCTTATAACAATCTTAAGTCTAGTATATTGTACCTCTAATAACAATCCTAAGTCTAGTACATGTACCTCTAATAATAATCTTAAGTCTAGTACATTGTATCTCTAATAATAATCTTAAGTCTTGTTCATTGTACATGTACCTCTTATAACAATCTGAAGTCTAGTACAATGTATATCTAATACCAAACTTGA